TAGGCCACGGATCAAGCTCGAACGCATGGTTGCGATGTTTGTGTCTGCACCATGTTGAGCGAGCTTGTTGTATGTACCTTTTGAACCTACGGCAAGTCACTCACGATCAGTTACGACTTTAAGGGACCGCTTCGGAAGGCACACAAAACGCAGGGATGGTGGTTGGGGCCCACAGCCGACCTGTAGGATCCATTGTCTCAAGCCAAACGCCCTTGGATTGGTTCAACCGATCTGAAAGGGCTCTTTAATGTTCACCTACGACTAGTACTTGGTCTCAGTGTTTTTTTTTTTGGGGGGGGGGTGTTCGGAGGGGGGGGGGGTAAGTATTCATCAGAGGTGGGCATTCCCCCCTTTCAGAAAACACGCCGGCCTTGGTGAAGATGTAGCAGATCACCAGAAACAGGGCCCCCAGGAACGTGAGGGATCCCCGGCGCCCCGCGATGCCGGCACGCCAGTCCGGCGCCTGCGAGGGGTGCGAGGGGCAGCTGTCGGGGGTGCCGAAGATTCGGTTCTTTGGGTTTCGGGGGTTCCGAGTCTGTTCTGGTTGGTTTAGGGTTGGTTTGGGGTTGGTTTGGGGTGGTTTTAGGTCAAGGGCTGGTTTAGAGTTGGTTTAGGGTCGATTCAGCTTGGTATACGTGGGTTTAGGCTTTGGGTCTTGGGAGGGGGGCTTCAGGGTTTGTGAGAACAGGGGACACGGTACCATATCACATATATATATATATATATGTTCATATCCATGTCAATTGTGCCGCAACAATTTTCAGATGTTTTCGTGAAACAAACGGTTTCGCTGTTGGTAATGGAAATCACCCTAGCACGGGTGTTGACTTACACGTACATGTACATGATTGCTTCGGACATGCCCGATTCAAAAACCAGCTACGCAGGTCAATTCCGGATGCGAAGAGACGCGAAGGGGTCCGCAAGTTTGACGCGAAGGGGTCCGCAAGTTTTGGACGTACAAACTTCTGGGCATGACCTACAAGTAAAACACCGCTTTTTGGCTTGCTGTTTTTCCAATTCAATCGAGGAATTTCTAGTAATTCTCCGCATTGACGGAATCGCTCGCAAATTATCCCAAACGCCTTGACACAGGAAACGCCCGCAAATGGCATTCAGACGTGGCATGGTGACGCTACTATCCTTGACGGTACTGTACCTAGTGCATGTCCAACAGAACCCTATGGATTAGGGCCTCTTTGCCCACCATCAAGTTTTCTCAAAACTCCAACCCCCTCACCTTCACTTTGAAATCGTTTTGCCCACGGATCGGTGGAATCGCTCGCGGGCATTTGCTCGAGCAAACCCCCCTGCCTCCTCGTCGAAGAAACCCTTTCCATCCTGACGCGGAGTCCATTTCAGCCTTTGCCTTTGGGCAGTTTTGTGCCGATCATTTTTTCTATCTTCCGTCCAAATCCCCTTATGATACCTTTTGGATGCCAAAACTGGGCTGGGACGTGCCCAGTTGCAAGCCTTCAAACAACAACCCTCCCACTGAACAGCGAGCGTCCGGCGCTGCCATGCGGGGCGCAAAAGGGCTCTAATGTCTAAAGGATTGCTCCAAAGCCTTCCAACAACTGGCTGGCAAAGGAATCCCCACAAAAACCAAACCAATCTTAGTGGACAGTATGCCAAAGTGGGCCATATGAACACCTGACTTGGATACCCTATCAAAAGGGTACTCTCAAAAGGGTACTCTCAAAAAGACCGGCTTCCTTGCAAACACCGCCTGGTTCTCGCCCCTGAGAATCATGCGCTGCACCGATCCTATGAGAAAACTGCGGCTGACAGGACCGCTCCCTAGCACTCCAATACGACTCCTCACACTGCCCTAGAAGCGAGTTGCGCGAAAAAACCACGGCTTCATCGAGCGCTGATCATGTATGTCTCCGGAAGCCACAACCAAGAGCCTCATGAATGGGGGTTCAGCACACTCAGCTCAACAGGCTCCAAAAATGGATTCATCAATGGTCAGAAACTTCATCTGGCTACTTGCAAGGCTCGCAGAAAGAAAGGTAGTCAGCAACTAAGCCTCACCCCACCCAAAGCGACGCTTGAACCACTAGGAAGGCGGGAGGGTGCTGTCCGTGACAATGGGTGGCCGCGGGGAAACCCAAAGGAACCAACCCATTTTACGGACCCAGAGACACCATCAATGACTATGCGTACACCGAGGCAAAGTGCAAAGTATTGCATGGCGCTGTTCAGCATAGCAAATCAGCATGCCGATGCATCAAACGACAAGGCGACTCCGTCAAGCTGATCTGGGCAAATCACTACCCCCCACTGGAAATTATAGGAACCCCAAGGAAGGGAACTTCATGGGTGAGCACGCTCCGCTCCACACAAACAGGTGGGCCCGCGAAAACAATTGCCCAGAGCTGCAAGCTGTCTTGGCCACACGCCTCCGCCCTCAGGTGGCGGGGCCGTGGCTGGCAGCCGACGCTGCGCCCCAAGCCGCCGCAAAAGCAAAGTGCCTTGGGCAACTGCAGCGACCGAAACGAAAACGAGCCCAAAATCTTCTGCGGGGACTTACTTCGCCACCTGGTTTGGCTTTTACGAGGGTGTAACCCTCCACCCCCCGGCTGGTTTGCCGTTCATAGTCCTACATACACATTCTCAGGCGCGGCAAAAATACCTTGAGGAGAAAGGAGTGGCACCCCGCAATGCCACTTTCGGAGCAAAGCTGCAGGATGTCTGATAAACATCAGGCGGCTGTGTATCTAAATCCTTTCCAACCGGCCCCACAAGCGACTAGCGCGAGGGCCTTGAGAGAGAGAGACAGAGAGAAGCCACAAGAACGAAACAGACAGAGAAAGAGAGCGTCGGAGCGCGTACTAGAAAATTGCCCGGCGAACAAAACCGCAAAACAGGGGAAGGGCCAAGACCCAAAACCTGGTAGCCTGAAAAATTGGCCAGAAAGGGAAACCAAAAGAGTTCAAAAGTGGGCGTTGAACAGCTGAGATGGCAACTAACCTTCTTCAATGCTTAGTGGCTATGACAGAAACACCATGCCTGATTCGGATGCCCAATGCCGCGTTGCTCTTCCCCAATTCCCCAAAACGAAGCCCAAGTAAAATGCGAAATTCTGAGACACGATGGTCGTCAGGAACTTCCCATGTCTTCGATTTTCCAGTCTGCGTCAGTCTGAGTATCAAGCTCAAGTGACCAAACTACTCCAATGTTTTTTTGCCCAGCCACAAGGCTCCGGGCCGGGACGGTTCTGGGACGCAACTTGCGGTTCTGGCTTAGGGGGGCTTGGCAGTTCTGGGGTCCCGGGCATGAACGGGGCAGCTGGGCGGAGGAGAGATGCTGTGAGGATCTCATCCGAGCTTGTTTTGATAGAAGCCAACAAAAGCCAACCATTGGAGATTTCCCCAAATCTGGGTGTCTTTTAGGGTGCCCTGTTTACCTTGACTTAAAGGAAACCCATCACTTTGGAAGTAGCCCTAGCCTGAGACACACCTATTTGAACGTGCATTATGATGCGATGCTCCCTCGCATCTGTTTGTCTGCCGTGAGGGGCCAGCCTTCTTTGAATCGCCCGCCACCTAAAATGGAAAACGAGATCGAATGAGATCTTTAGCCCCCCATGATTAAATATAAATCCCTGGCCCCTTGGCTCCAATGTCCGTAGCCAAATATGGCTGTGGGTCAAAACCAATGGTACCATTTTGGGGTAGGTGAATTCACCAGCCATTTTAGAACCTATTTTAGTGGTGGGATTGAATCGGATGTTCACTGGGGGCTAACCGATTTGGTTAACCCATGGCGAACTATGTAGTGAGACAAACTTCGATCTAGATCTCCACATGCCCAGCCACTGGCGCAAGGACCAAAACCACCAGCACGCCGCGAGCCATGGCGAATGCCGAGGGAACGGCGTAACGGACGGAAGCAGCGGTCCAATTTGGGTGGGCTTTGTGTTTTTGCTTTGTCTTTTTCGGCGGCTAAATGGGGCTAAGGCGGTTGGGGCCAATAGGTAGAAGGCCCAACTTCAGCAGGTTTGCCACAGCGCCTTTGAGCCAAATGCATCGGATCCCATGGCCCTTTGCAACTCCGCAGCTGTCGTCCCCCCCGCCCCCCGGCCCTCGCTCTGAGTGTAACGAGGGATTTGATTGCCTTGGGCTGGGCTGCTAAAGTCCCACGTGTCCCCGGAATATTCCAGGTCTGCGCCCCCTAGAAAGTCATATATCATCCCCGCACTGTGCAATCGGGGACTAACCCGATTGAATTTCATTCAAAGGTGATAGTTGGAGTTACCGTTTTTTTGTGGGGCAGGTAGCCAGGGGAAACCATGTGTTCAACCTAGAGGTAAGGAACCCCGATTACCTACCATGGCAACTGGATGGGTAAGTTATGCTGCATTCCAAACGGGATTCCAGCCTATTTGCATCTACCTGAAATCCCTGCACAGCATGCAACAAATTGCAGCCTATCGAAACGAGCGCGGCGTCTTTGCCAAGTAATTAAAGCATCACATAGCTAGTATTGACACCTGGTGTATGGCCCGAAAATGGAACTCACTTGGACAAGAACATCGGCAAATCTGTTGATCACGTGGGGGTGGGATTTCCGCAAACTGTGGAACCATGCAGCTGTGACGAGGAACCATGTCAGGGGTCACTGGTTCAATGAAACAGCCTCAGTTGTTTGGTACTCCTTACATGCGGGGCAAAGCACGTAAAGGCTCTTCTCGCAACCACGCCCTCTTGTTCGCGCATCTGTCAATCAATTTGCCGCCGACGGCCTGTGACGCCAAGGGCGCGGGGTATGATGTAAACCTGGTAATGGTCGCACTTCTGTGCAAGGGCAGCTGAAGCTTATGGCAGTCGAATCTGTTCCAACTGCGAAAAAGCACAGCGGGAAAACAAAGGAGCAGCCTGCACCCTCAGAAAATTCCGCTCAAACAAAGCAGGGCCGTCGTTGATCAAATCCCACTCAGGAACCATCCCGCAAGCTCGCTTTGCAGGGCCCGAAGCCCCCACAGAAACTAACCATCCACACCAATCCACAAACAACAAGCAAGTTCCTGGGGTGCAGCGAGCGTGAACTTCAGCCGGGCTGCGAACCCAAGCGGCTTCGCCGCAGCCCGCTGAGCAAAAACCACAAACGCCGCTAAGCAAAGCCTAAAGGCCGCTGGGCTAAACCCTAGCTTGGCCAGGCCTGTACGCTTGCCGTAGTTGGCTCTGTTTGGGGGGCTTCTTGGTTGAGACTCTCAGGGCTCCACTTCCAGCTTCATGCCTGCCGCGTTCAGGCGGTCCACCAGCACCTGGCCAGTAAATTGATCCGAAAGCTGCACTGGGTGGGTCTTCTTGGGAGGGATGAAGGATGTTGAACATTTATCCATGTGGACCTGGACAAAAACAGGAATAACTCCCTCAAAAACAAGCAAAGAAACAATCAAACAAAGAAACAAACAAACAAACACACGTATGTCTATATATACATATATATATATATATATATGTGCATATAACCCATCTACCCCCTCCAGGGACCAACCATGTCCTTCTGGTCTGTCCCTTTGCTAGCTAGACTTGCGGGGTACGTACCGCACATCCCGCTAACCGCAAACCTTTTCGCTCCAAGGGTATGGGAATCGCCGAGAGAGCTGAAGAAAGCACCTGAATCCCAAGAAACCGAATCCAAGATTCTTCCCATACCTTTTTTAATGCCAAAGGCCAAGCTTGGTACAAGTGTTGATGTGTAAATCCCCCCCTCCCCAACCCGCAAACAACAGAAAAAAGGAACACTCGGTGGATAGAGGCGAGCAATGCACCTGGGGCCAGTTTGTGATTCCACCACATCTGCAATGTAGGTGTGCCTACACTTCTTCTCTGAACACCCCACCCAGTCGAACCCGATCCGCCTGCCCCAGGCCGGCTGCGGGGGTCATCACCCCCCCCTCCGCGCAACGGCCCCGCTCCAGCGCGCAGCACAGGGCCTGGGTCTCAAGCGCACGACGCTGATCGAATGGAATGCCATGGCAAAATGTCCCCCCCCCCCGCCCCTGGCGGGTTGGTGGATTTTAACGGAAACCCCTCTCAAGCGATACTAACAACTCACGTTGTTCCTCCCCTGCTTGTGAAGTTGCGAGTCAAGCTGTCAGTGGTGGTCTCTAAAATGGCCACAACTTAGTAATCAACCATGGGTTTACCCACCTTGGTGGGCGAGAGTAAACACAGTTCCCTATTTTGGTTGTGCGGCATCCCCTTTACCACATAAACACATAAAGCGAATCGTCATCCCATTTACATACCCATAAGAACAAATGAGCGCATTTTGTTTGACTCCTCATCCCCTTTGCCCACACAAAGGGGGTTGCGCGATTTGCTTTCACACGCGCATTCCTTACTGTTGATGGACAAAATCCACTTCGTACCCGATATGTGGGATGGTCATCTATCCGAACTGGTGCCTGGCGGGATTTTCTACATCCCATGGGGCATGGCCAGCCCACACCCCATGTCAGACGGCCAGACTGAGACCAACTGCACAAAGTCACCAGTTGCTTCCCACGCCCTCATGCCCAGCAACATCACGAGATAGCGTCGGGCGAAGTTAACTTTTGCCAGTTGAAGGGCACATATTGAACACCAAAAGTGCAAACAGCTGAACAGCGAAGCCAATTGGCTTGCCCTTCCTTTCTTCGCAAAAGGTCGAACCCTGCGTAGACTTACTGGAAAGCCCATACTATTTCCAAAAGGCCTAAGGGAGTGTAAGCCCCCATTGCGCCCTGTGTGCACCACACATCTAAGGGCCGGTGTTTTTGGGGTGTTCTCAGATCCCCTAAAAGTTTAACTTTTAGTGGGATAAATGGAAACTACCACTAAAAGGCTATAAGGCCAAAAGGCCAAAAGGCTAAAAGGCTAAAAGGCTAAAAGGCTAAGGAACCGAATGCCTGGGAGTCAAGTGTTGGTCCCACCGAAGACTTAACAGGGGCCCAGGTCCTCCCAACGGCTTCGCCGCACTGGTGGAAGCCCAAGGGGCGGTCTCCACGGACATCAGGGCTGTGGCCTTGTACCCAGGGTCCCCCGCATTGACGCTATCAACCTCTCGAACGTGGCTGGGGCACCTGACGTTTGGTGTGTCGTGGGTCTTGTGCTTTATGGTTTGATTGGTTGGTTGATTGTTTGTTTGCTTGCCTTCGTTTGTTCGTTTGCTTGCTTGCTTGCCTGCTCGCTGCTTTCTTTCGGTATTTCAGTGTCTGTCGTTCTTTCTCTATTTCATTGTCTTTCGTTTGTGTCCTTCTGTTTCTCTGTCTTTCTTTCCTTCTTTCTTTCTTTCTTCCTTCCTTCCTTCCTTTCTGTCCGTCTGTCTGTCTGCCTGTCTGCCTGTCTGTCTGTCTGTCTGTGTGTCTTTCTTTCTTTCTTTCTTTCTTTCTTTCTTTCTTTCTTTCTTTCTTTCTTTCTTTCTTTCTCTTTTCTTTTCTGTCCAATCTTTCTTGTTGACTTTCTACATTTCGTTCCCTCATTTCATGTCGTGTCGTTTGTGTTCAGCTCATTCACTCATCATGTCTTTCCTGACGCCACCAGTTCCTGGAACGCGGGCCAGTCTCGAAGTGCGAAAGACACATTCTGGAATTCCGATACCTCTTAACTCGACAACAGGAAGTGCCCCAGCCGGGAAAAGCTCAGGCTTTGAAGCTTGGAATCCACGGAGCTGTGCACGATTGGCAATCGCCCCGTCACGTGATTCCAGGTTGTCCCGGTTTCCCCCCCAGATTCGCACCAATACTAAAGGGCCAACAAGGTTTGCCAAAAGATCACTACCCAAACAAGGTTTGGGCCGCCCCGAAAAAATGTAGCCCGCTGCAGCCCCTACATATAGATAATCCCGTCCCATTTGGGAGGCCTCTCGGAAGGATAATTCGTGTTTAAAGCCTCCCAAATGGGACGGGATTATCTACATACACATCCGGCGAGGGAGGCTTAGAGCGGGCCAGGATGGCCGACCCCCCAGTGCTCCCACCAATACCAAGCCACTATTGAAGCCCTCAAGTTTTTCCAAAACTATGCTTCTCCCAAAATGCTTTTCTTGTAGAGTTTACAAGGCTTTCAAGCTCACAAAGGGGAGCCCCCGTGCCCTTTTAGGATCAATACACAAAAAATGAATTGGCTGGGAACGGGCCAGAAACACAAGGATGAGGGCCAAAGGAGCTCCGAGTCAATTCGGGGGTCCTCCAAAACATCTCACTTGTGGGGGCTTGTCCAAACCTTCTCGACCTTGACTTGGGGGGGGGAGGGCGCCTTACCAATCAGGGGTAAACATTTTTGCGTTTGATTCCAGTCCATTTCAAAACAGATTCCAGTTCCATTCTTTCGAGTATTCCCCGCCGCCTCCCCAACAATGTGTTGAATCAAAGGTACGCTCTTGCAGATTGATATGAAACATACATATTTGTAGCGGAACCTCCTTTGGCCCATGTCAATTTGCAGGGGAAGCCCTGGACCAGAACCCCCCCACCGGGTGTCCTTGGCTACCACCTTGGGAATCTGGCCGTCGCTCTTTGCTTTTTCGCCCAGTGCCACCGCCCGCACGGTGAAGCGCCCCTCCTGCATGAGCTTTCTCGACCCAAATGGGGGGAGCCAACATGGCCAATAATTTTTCCGGAATGAGGATCGAACGGTAGGTGAGAGGTACACAAAACCACGGCATGTTCAGATTCCGGTCCGTATTGGACCAAGGCCCATGAAACACGTTGCAGACTTCAGTTATAGGTGGCATGCTCAGATTCCAGTCCGTATTGGACTAGGGCCCATGAAAAAAAAAGGAAGAACAAAAAACGTTGCAGACTTCAGTTAGAGGCGTGCGGGGACGGAAGGGGCCGGGCCAGCGAAGGTCGGTTTGGAACGGGAACCAATGGCCAAGCACAGCCTTTCAAGAGCTCTTCTTGCGACACCCGTTGCAGGCCCCAACTGCTTGAACAAAACTAATGCGTGTGTGTGTGTGTGTGTGTGTGTGTGTGTGGCAGCCGTCCCTCAAACCCTCACCAACACCGGTGCGAGCACGAATAGGCCCGTAGGCGGGGACTCTTTCTCCAACGCAATCACCCAGGCCCTCACCAAGTTAGGGGATGCGAGCTGCAGTGAAATGCCAAATAGGCTTGCATCTTGCGGCGCAACATCTGCTTACCACTTCGAGGTTGGGCGGGAAAGTCAAGCAAGTACTGACGCCTGCAAGCCATGCCAGCCAAAATAACCTCATTGCCGAGGTTGTGTTAATCCAATAGCCAGCCAGCGCACGCCACCTCCAACGCTCCCGACACTGAAAGTGCTTCGCAGCCGAAGACCCCAAGTAAAAGCCTAAGGCGACGGATGGGAACCGCCAAGCACTTTGGCCTCCCCTTTAAAAACAGTACTTCTCCCCCGGTAACGGTGTTTTTTTATTGTTACTAGGGCTGGTTTTTTCCTAGGGCTGGTTTTCCGCAGGGTTGGCAACATCCCCAGCATCACCAGCATCACTTGGCCCTGAGTTATGGGCGAGTTTTGGTGGTTTGGGGCAACGCCCAAAACCGATCCAACACGAGACCAAAACTTACTTAACCACACCCTAAAACCCTAAAGCCGATGCTAAACCAGCAGCACACCTAACACAAATCAGCTCCAAACCAACCCAAACCCACTCAAAGTCAACCCTAAACCCGCCCAACAGCAGCCCGGATGTCAGTCCTTCGCTTCGCCTAAATCAACTCCAAACCACCGCAAGACCCGCCCTCATGAAGATCTAAAGCCCGCCAAAGCCCCCCTAACTTAAACCAGACCCCAGCAACTCCAAACTGCCACCCAATCAGAGCCAATAGGCGGCCCCAGGGCTAGTGAGGCTGGTGATGCCAACCAACCAACCAACCAACCAACCAACCAACCAACCAACCAACCAACGGACCAGCCCTAGTAAAAAAAAAAAAAAACGGATCCCTTCTCCCCCCAAAAAACCAAAACAAACAACAAAAACAACCCCCCCCCTGCTCTGACCCTCCCCTGACCCCTCCCCTGACCCCCCGCCTCCATCGCCTTCCTGGAGGGCCCCTGCCCCGGCTCAGGCAGCACCCAGCGCTTCAGCGCCCAGCGCGTGGGCGGGAAATCTGACGACCCGACGCCGTCGAAACGGCCCCAGGGCCCAGGGGTAGAAACCTCCCAAGGCTTTTCTAGGTCCAGATGTGAGAGATGTGAATAGAATAAGTTGGGACCAATTCTTTGTTTCGGTTTGGTCTATTCTAGTAGGAGAAGCCTCCCAACCAAAAAAGGGGTGAGAAAGGCACTACTGGGGGACCCTAGTTTGATATTTTTATACCAGGGGTGACAGAATTAGAATGGGGAGTTTAAAACCAAGTTTAGTCGTGATTCTCAGAATGTACTAAGTGCATTTCTTGCATTAGCCCTTAGGTAGACTGCAAATAGGGTCCCGGTTTCAAATGATCTTGACCAGCGGCCCCGGGCCTTCCCCACAACGCCCCAACAAACCCACCACGACGTGATTCCTGCGTTCGCCCTTTACATCCTGGCCATTTGTTTCCAAAGAAACATGGGAAAGGTGTGAAAAAAAGGCGCTAGGCAGAACCTTTGCGGATGTGCACCGGACTCGTTGTTACTGACTGTGTGTTTTGGTTTTTAGACCTCCTCCCTCGTAGCCGGCCCGGGGCCATGGAAAACATGGACTGACGATTGGCCAAAGGGAGCTGCCCAGGTAAACCACGTTGGACAACTACCAGTATGTTATTTTCTGGGGAGGGGTAGGTGAGCTGAATCACTGAATGCCACTTGGGAACCCCATGGTGCTATACAAATTCAGACAAAGCGAATTACATCCATATTAAGTGGGTGAATTTCTATGATTCCCAAAGCTGAGATCAGGAACGATCAAGTGACGGACCTTCATCATGAGTGGCCGGTTTTACCACAGCTGGTTGTCTACCTAGCGGATGGTAGGACTAAAACGAAACAAAACATAACAAAAACTATCAGTTTTACTTTCGAATTAGAAGCAAGTTTGAGCCTTACCATACGGATGCCCTGAAAGAATCACTTTGTAGGGGCAGCAGCAGTTGTGATGCCTATGGGTGTTTCTCAACGAGTCCCCGTAAATGGCAACGTGCTGCTGAGTTGAGTGCCTAGCACCAGTTTAAATGACAAAGACATTCGGCAGAAAGAAACAAAAACACTGTTTGGAAACTGAAGAGGGTCCGGATCCCATCCTCTACAATGGCCAGGTCGTCCCTTTGGCTTGCCTTGGCCCAATTGCACGGAAGGGTTGTTGCAAAATGGAGATCTTTTTGAGGAGCCCTGCTAAAACGGGGCCGCATGTACCCGAGACCCTTCCCACTCCCCTCCCCGAGCCCTGAGACTGAGGCTCCCAGCAGAGAGAGCCCACCATGAAGCCCAGCGCCATGGTGCCAAGCCAACCGCTGACGGGCCCCGGCACCACAATGCCCTCCCCATAGCCTCAGGAACTTGTTCCCGTTTTTCCACGTAAAAGCCCAAAGCCAAACAAAACAAAAACGGAAGAGGCATGCTAAGAGTTGCACTGGGCGTCCCAAAAATGCAAAAACGATAAAAACCCTCCCATCCACTCATTAGCCAGGTCTGTGGGCAATCCCATCCGTGAAGACAATCTTCCAGCCAGTGACTTGCCATGCAACTGAAAAAGCGAACATGTTGAGCCCTATTGTGAAACTCCAAGCCTACTGGTCGAAAGCGAAATGAAGGAACCGAAAAAGCAACAATCCAGCCCCGCCAGTGCGAGCACATGGAAGGGACACTACAAGCTGTTGAGCTCTTTTCAACAAGGCGTTTCAGGCGGTGGTTTCGCTTTAAACCACTTCGCTCCGGTAAGTTGGGGGATGTCTTGCTAAAATGGACCCTCTCCAACTAGACCCTTCTAACTCGCTCTCCCATTGCCTGCCAGCCAACAGCAAATATCAGAGGCTCGCACAGATGTGTCTTAACATTGGGAACCCCCAAAATGGTTGGTTGCTTGGTTTCCCTTAAGACAGCCAAAAAGAGGACCTTCAAGAAAGACACACCTACATCAAAGACAACTCAAGTGCGTTTACCCGCAATTCGAACATCCATGCAGTTTGCTGGCGGATGAGGGAACGCACCCACACATGAGGAACGCGCCGACTGCAAGAAATATACTGGCTACGGTGCCTGAGACAAGCAAGCCTGCTTTGGTGCGAGACGGTTCCGAATGCCCCGTTCAGACACCTTCCTTCACCAAGGCCATTGTCCTGGATTGGTCCCTTTTTGTTTGCGGCCGGGAACGTGTTGTGGCCCCCATGCCCCGACCAAACCAACGGCAAACTATCAACAACGTTTGAATGGTCGGAGTCTCAGATAACCCCCATCGCGATCTTCACCGTGCCTCCCTGCCATGCCATCCACAATTGGATGAATTCAAACAGCGTGAAGACTAGGTGTCTATTTTAGTAGGGGAACCCTCCCCCCAAAATAGGATGCGAAAGGGCACTACTGGGGGGACCTAGGAGGGATACGCCACGGGCGCCCCATCATTTGGGCTTGAATCCATCAGGTTATTCCAGGGGGCTCAAGCCTTGGCCGTAGGGGTAGCCCAGCAAAGCGTTGCTGCGGCGCACAGTTCTGCAACTGGGATTCGACAGCCTCACGTTACGAAACTCGTTCGCGACAAGGTAGGTGAAACAAAACCCGGTCTCAACCAGCCACAGGAAGTTCGACCAGGTGTTTGGCCAACCTTGATCTCGAAGGGTGCTATCTGCCCCAGACAAACAAAACATGGCTGGAATCTATCGAATGGTTGGCTCAGCCGGTTAAACAGCCACAATGCGGGACTGGGCTGGACCAACTAGTTCTCTGTTCATCTTTGTGTGGCTTTGGCTTGCCTATGGGCATGTGCTTCCCTTTGACCATAGAGTGCATGAGGAGGAGGGTATGTTTCTTCTTCTTCATTGGGTTGCACAGCTATTCAACTTTCCATGGAATTTCGGCACAGCAGAACTACAAAGCATGCGCCATTTCATGTCCCACGTGACAACTACACCAGGTTGACAGTCCTTTAAGCCGCTTTTGCTGATCCCTCCGTTGCCAAACAGCTGGCATTGGTAATGACTGCTTCTCTGCTAAAGAAGGGTAGCTTCTAAACAGCCCTTCGACATTCCTGTTGGCTGGTTCAACCCTCTCACCATCGCTCACCTGAGCGGGGTCCCTTTTTGGCATTCAATTCCGCGAAAACCCCCTGATTATGAACTGGGTTGGTGGATGCATCCAAGCCCCCGCCCACCAGAATGGCTTTTCCCTGTGGCTTTGAGGACCTTGCGTTGCTTCCCTAATTGACTCATCGGGGTCAACGAACTTGCTGGGTCAGGGATGCCCCCTGTGGCTTACGGAATCCCAAGGTTCATTCCGAAAGCCTGTGCTCCCCTGAGAATCTCAGAGCCAGCTAGCCAAATCTTGGCCATTTTGCGCACAGAGCCCAAACCAACTGACATTTACAGGGTGCCACTGAACAACTGGAAGACGTCAACAAAACAGGGATCCCTGTACCTCCCCTTTAAACATCACCCAACCCAAAGGGTTGCCACTCAAATTGGCCCCAAAAGGGTGCTCTTCAAACCCACATCAAAGCCACGTGATAGCAATCTATGGCCAGGGACATGTGGCTGTGGGTCAAATGACCTTGGTACATGGAACCAAAGACTAAAACCTGCGTAGCCCGAGCTCTCGAATTTCGAGCCACACCCATGGGAAGCAAACCCAACATGGTCTGCCGTGGCGCGGGGAGATCATGAGCCATTTCTCCTGCAGCTCGTCCCAGCGCGGCAGATCCGTAGTGCCCCCGTCCGCGGTGTCCGGGCCCCGCTGGCCATCCGGCGGGTCCATGCCTAGCCAGCCGGCGGCACATATGGTCTAGGTCCTCCAGATTTGAGAGCTTAGAATAAATAGGTACCCGTTTTTGTTTTTGTTTAGTCTATTTTAGTAGGGGAACCCTCCCAGCCCAAAAAGGGTAAAAGGGCACTACGGGGGGACCTGGCCAGGGTACATGAAATAAAACCCATCTACACCAGTGCCAGCTATTTCTAGTCCGGCTAACCTAAAAGGAGATATGGTTTGGGGGGTTTGCTTGGGCTGGGTCAGGGTGTGTTCAGTGTGTGTCGTGCGTTTAGGGTGTGCTTGGGGTGTGGCTGGAATTTCCGGTTGTGCTCACCTGCCCAATCACGCAGGTGACATGTTGCAAAACGCCCATGGTTGCCGCCTGCCAAACGTGATCAACTCTCCGTTGGCCCGTTCAATGGCTGGATCCCTGTACTCACGCGTCCAAAGACTTGAGACATCAATGGTCTCGATCTTGACAAAGAAAGCACCAAACTGTGCAAAGCAAAAGGTTGAAGAGGTCCCAATTTGCTTTGGACATCGCAGAGGTCAGCCAGGTTCTCACTTTTCACAACAAGGTGACGCTTCAAACCACCAAAGGGGAAAGATTGGGACCATATTTTAGGGAACCCTGTCGAAAGTCGACATTCAGCCAAAGGCCGAGCTGCCGTAAGGATCCATCATCGCTGCTTTGTTCCTCGGCTCAACTCTGCCACCCCCTTTGCCCGCTGGCCGCCTAGCATTCCTTGAGTTGATGCAAAGGCCTGAAGAATCAGAACGGCCTTGTCGGGCATTTTAATCCCAAATGAAGCCATGATCAGAAAATTTTGCAAACATCTACTTGAGAAGCAGGGAACGAAAGCTAGCGTGTGGCAAGGTATCGGCGTGATGCGGCGTGTCCGTGGTCAGTTCTGGCCTCCACTCATGCCATCTCATTGCGTGTCGTTTCGCTTGTGCCTCTTGCAGGGCAATCTGGCCTTATCTTTTGCAGCCATGTAGCCAAGTTAGCCTCTAAAATGGCGATTGAAATAATCTGAGTCGTTTCCGAAGGGTGTCATACTTGCGCCAAGCGTAAGACACAACCTGATCCAATACCCGCAACCCATCATCTGCATCGAAAACCCACGCAAACCATAATCTGCAGTCCGCAAGCCGAATGAGCTAATCCGTAAACCGCACAATCCGCAACCCGATAATCAATGCTGCTTTCAATCAAAGACGGCCCTGGGATTAAGACTGAACAAAGCGCGTGGTTCATCTTTAATCTTTTGGGAAGCGCGTAGTGGGTAATGTAGCGGGTAAAGGCTTCACTGCTTAAACAGGTGTGTGGTGTCTCCTGAAGCAAAGACGGCCCTTGGATTGACGGACAAAGCGCGTTGTTCATCTTCATCTTTCGGGAAACGCGTAGTGGGTAAAAGCTTCAGTGTTTGAGCAGGTGTGTGGGGCCCCTTGAATCAAAGATGGCCCTGGGATTAAAAACGAACACAGCGCATTGTTCATGTTTAATCTGTAGGGAAGTGTGTAGTGGTTAAAGTAGCGGGTAAAAGCTCCAGTGTTTAAACGGTGTGGGTTCTCCTGAAGCAAAGATGGCCCTGGGAGTAAGAATGAACAAAGCGCATTGTTCATCTTAATCTGTTGGGAACGCGTAGTGGGTAAAAGCTTCTGTGTTGGAAAAGGTGCGTGGGGATTCTTGAATCAAAAGTTTGTGGGATTAAGAATCAACAAAGCGCATTGTTCATCTTCAATTTTTTGGGAAGCGGGTAGTGGGTAAAAGCTTCAGTGATTGAACAGGTGCGCGGGGTCTCTCGAATCAAAGATGGCCCTGGGGTTATCGCTAGGATTCCTGCGTTCCACATTGAGCAACTAGAACTGGCTGTTTATAACACGTCTACACACAGAATCGCGTTTTGCTTTACAATGGATGGATGGCGTTGATTATTTGGTCTGCGAGTCAAAAGTTCAAACATCTATTGACACCGAACGAGCCAATGGAACTACCCCCAGCGGAGGTGGTCCAGGGTGGATTTGAGCTCACTGGGCGCGCCTGAAATATCAGCCCTTTTGGGGGGGGGGGCCCTCTCCCCCCCCAAGGGCAACATCTCTGACAAGGGGGTGGCGGGGGGGGGGGGTTGCCCCACCCCCTCCACGACCCTCACAACCAGCGAGAATTCAGGCCCCAATGCCTAACTCAAGCTTTTCGACCGCCCCTTCTCAGCAAGCTGAGGTAAACGAAAACTTCCCTTTTAAGGAGCTAGCTTTGGTGATAAGCTGCTCAGACTCGCACCCGACAGAAATTAAAACATTAGTGAGGACTCATCTGTCTGGAGGTGTATTGAAGATTTGGGGGCCAGGACCCTGTCCTTCCAATGCTAAAAACACATGAGGACACCCAGTACGAAACACTCCACTTTCCAACACAAATTGGAGGGCGGAATCCACTGCACTCACGTCTGGTCGCTGGTGGCGGCAGTGGCCACTTGCAAAAAGGGCCATGGGGCTTTTGAGGGTTGAAAGAAACACCGCCTGCGGAAAAATAGAAAGGGCCCTGCTGGAAATCCGGGCTTTTCGAAGATGGATCAGCAGCTGAACTTTTCTAGGGCACCTCCAGGCCGGTGGTTCACCAGCGCGAGAAATCCCTTTGTCAGGGCTCAAGCTGAAAATGCCCCATTGCCACCACTCAAAACCTGGAAGTTGCAGGTAAAACTTTTCAAAAGGAACGAACTCATGTATATGGTTTCATTGTTTCTGTGACGACTTATCGAGCCCCACGCCGCTAGTCATCGTTGTGACGCCAAGCATTGGTTTTGGACCATCGATGCAAAGAGACTAAACCAGAATGATATCAAAGATTGCTCTGCTCACTGCCACGGTACGTGCCACCTTTGTGGAATGATGCGCTCAGTGCAAACCAACAATCATCCGAAGGGTCAAGAAGTCGTTGGAAGACATCTTCACAATCCAAAGAAGTGACTTCCAAGTTTGCCATTCGAGCGCCGTCCCCTGGCTGTCCAGCACCATAGAATGCCCTGAATGGCCCCCCCGAGAAACAATATTTTGGAGGGTGATGTGTTTTGCGGGTCAGCACATTAGAAAAAAACAACAAAAAGATGCAAACATTACCCCCAGAAGCGGCCCAAAACATACCGATACCCCTTCTATATCGGTACCCGAGTCTTGCATGTTGTTCATGTGTTGAAAACTCGGCAAGTCCGGTACGAGAAAAATCATGGGCGCACCAGGGCGGACTTTAAATGCTGGCACAAGAGGGTCCCGGTTTCTGTAAGAAGTTTGGTGTCCCCTCATATCCCTCCCAAAAGAACCATGGGCTGGTAACTTTGATCAAACCTTCTATGGAACCCTGGACAAAGGCTCTCCACATCCTGGGTGAGCATGCCCAGGCCGCTGTAGATGGTGCCACCACTCGCGCCCCCCGCGGCGTCCATCACCTGATGGGCCAACGAAACCCCGGGGCTACTTCGAAGTTCGGGAAAAAGCATGCCACATACCTACCCCTTGCGGTTTCCTTCTGGGAAAAGCTCAGCATGTTGTTGTTTTCTCTGTTTTTCTCCGCTGGTTGGCACTCAGAAAATGTGGGCGCGGTGCCAAGCTGGGCGGTTTTGCCTTTGTACCCACGGGATCCATGTGAAACAAAAACCCATAAGCAATTTGGACCTTGACAAACCAGCCAAAAAAGGGAAACATGGAATCACCCTTCGAGTATTGGGAAAGGACCCAGATGGCTAGGAGGCACGGGCGTGACCTGTCCTATTGCGTGTGCCTGAAGGGAAGCCACATTCAAAAGCGGCCAAAGGGAGACCAACACATGTCTACGGCTTGCTTCCTCGCCAGGAATATGGTACCAAGCATTTGATTCTCCATGACACGCCCACCATGGTTGCATTTGCCATAAGGCTGGAAAATGGGTGCGGATTTTGTTTTCCCGTTTTTTTGTCCAGGCCAGTAAAATGTCGTATGCCAGGCCATTTCCTCGCGAAACTCCCCGGACAATTAATGTTGTGTCCCCCACTTGGGTTGGTTTCGGTGAGCAGGAATGCCCCGGTCACTTGGCCCTGGCAGTGGGTGTGCTCAATGTCGCTCCCTTAGCTGCCTTTGATGGTAAACATTGACTCCTCTCCCGTCTTCGACTCGTACATTTTTGGGAGGTGCTCACAGCAAATGAGTTTTGACATCAAGCCCCTCCCCCCAAAAAAAGACAAAACATGGCACTGGATGAGTGGGATAAACTGCTCACTGCCTAAGTCTGCTGCACAAAATGCCCAAGCCTTTTTCCCAGTGGCCTTGCCCCCAAACCAAAACCGAGAAAGTGAGGCTGTGAAGAAGTGCAGGGAAATCAACCTTTCCTGCTTTGCAACTTCCGGGAGCTTCCCGCTTCAAACATACCATCAACCAAGCAACTTCATTCCCACTGGCCATTCTAAACTTCAGACCCTGTATGTATGTATGTGTGCTTTCCCATGTATTTCCACCCTTTTCCGATCCTCCCATTTCATGTGCCCTGTCGGGTCGCAAGCCGACGGTGCCTTCGTGACAGCCCTTCGCAACTGGAATCGAAGCCCACAACTTCTGTGCTTTATTCTTAGTTTTCCTTCAAACAAAAAACTCTACCCATCCACAATGCTTACCCCGAAATGCATCAACCCCAGTTCATTCATAGGGGGGTGTTCCCCTCCGAAAGTGATGATTCCCCACCAAACCCAAAAACACCCCTCCATGAGCAAACTGGGGCTCATTCATATGGGGCCCACACTCACACAAACCCAAGGTGACCTTCGAGCCCAAATTTTCCGAACCCGGACCTCGATGGCAAAACGAAGGACGGCCCGGGCCCAAGGACGGCCCAAAGGAAGCCAACAGAGGCTTGAAATGAAAAAAGGCCGCTGGGATCCTTTCCCAGACCATGAAGGGTTTGCCCACTTTCCCATGTTTGAGGACTACTTCAAAAGGTTCAAAAGTTGTGAAGATATGAAGAACGTACAGAGCTGAAGCAAGTACAACAAAAAGGAAGGCCCCCCCACCGCTCACCCCTTCCGGCCCCCCCCCCCTTTCGAGGCGTCGAGGCGCGGCATTTCGGATGGCGGCGCAGGCCATGCCGTGGCGCTCCCGCATTGCGGTGGCCGCCATCCAGGCCTCGAGCCGAGCCCCGGAACCCCCGGATCGAAGTTTTTTGGACGGGTGGGGAAACCCCACGGTGTTGGGGACAGTTCACTGGGAAACCCGGAGAAAAAACTCTCCTTCTCTTGGTATCCTCTTGGTGTCCCTCTTAAGGGGAGAGTTTTATGGGGTTGGGTTGTCCGGATTTGCCTCCCTGCGACTCAGGTTGGTCCTCAGGTGGTTGGAAGTCCGTTTGTCCTCCCTTCTGGACGCACGCGGTCCTCAGGTTGGAACTTCTTGAATGCTTCTCAAAATTGGGGGCGCCTCGGTGGTTGGTTTCCTTTTGGTGTTCCTGAAAACTATCCACAAAGGCGACCCCAATTGTGAGAAACACCCTTCGGTTTTCTCCTAAACCCTCAGGGTCCCGATGATGTTTGGGTCCGCACCGCTTGCTTGGAGGGCCTTTCAAGTCAAGGGCCGTGGTTCTGCATTGGAGGGCGGAGGGGTCATGACCATTGGGGAAATTAAACTTGGTTGACGTTGGAACGGGAGCCAAAAGTCTAAATTTTAGCTGTGTTAAGTGGGGATTTCAACCACTCAACCACAATAAGCAAAAATTGGACAAATGTGTCCAAACAACAACCATGAAAGGGTAGTTACGCTCATGGCACACATCAGAAATATCCAGGGCTTCAGGTCCAAAAGCCAACCTGGTCGACTTTCAGAGCGTCTCCCTAAGATCGCCCAAGGAAAGGCACTGACAGTCAAAGGTGATGACTCCGAAATCGGCAAGGATCGGCAAGGCAAATGAGTCTGACTCAAAATAGGGAAATCGATGGAATTCGGTAAGAACTGGAGATAGCTGTGCAAACATAAACCCATCGGCCCCATGCTCAATAGTGCACCTCAAGCCATCCAAATGACTGGATTCCTGCGCTCAGCCCAGGAACGGTGTTCAACAATTCACCTTAGCCAGCGCCAAAAAAAATCCCAAGGTCCCCATTGGCGTCAACCCCATTTCAAGGTGTCTGGCGCACAAAACGGCTTGCACCTGATTCAAGGGAACACAAGCCCTTCCCCCCCTCCCAGCTCCGAACATATCCTAAAGGTTGATGTTCCAGTCGTTTCGCCCATTTGGAGAACCGAAGTTTCCGTCGGACCGACCTGTCCGAGCATGCGGCTGCCATGTCGCAGGGGATACTGTCGAAGCCGCAGCTGTGGAGGATCAAAGCCTGCATCGGCTTAGGAGTCAGGAGTGGGGCGCCTTAAGCTCAGCCAAGGAGCTGGAAATACTGCGGATGGACGAAATCCATTTCGCACCACCTAAGAAACCCTCGAATGATGATTCCCCTGTAGATGGCAACAAACAATGGTTTGCCCTTGGCTTCTGAGTGGTGCGAAATGGATTTCGTCCATCCACAGCTCGCTGGTGCGAGAGGTAGGGAATGACTGAGCCAGGAGTCAGGATCTTGGGAATGAATCGTAGAATTCCCTTTAATGTTAAGGAAGCCAGGGATGGTTTATAGGGTCATTCCCTATTCCCGGCTGAGAACCAGCAACTGAGCCTTGACAAAAATTGGAACAACATTGGGAAACGAAAAGGTCAAAAGGTCGACTCTGGGCAAGTGGGGGTAGGATTTCTTTCATGTAGGTATGCCTGTACAACACACAGAAGCTGGAAGCCAGCGAGCCTAACGGAGGATACTGTGGTTTCCTTCAAGCAATGTGTTCGAGTTGACTTGCCACCACAAAGGAGCTGGGCACGAATTGGGAGGGTAGGGGCAAATCTTTCCGTGCCCCATGGTGAAAAAAACAAACCTGTGACAAAGAAAAAAACACATTGTGTGCCTTGAGTTCTTTTTGTAAAGACGGCTTTCAACACTACAGGACGCATGGCGGCCCTGAGGAAAAGGCTACCCCGATGATTTACATTGTCTTTTCTCAAAGGGATTCTAGCTGCATCAAGCAGTGGCCATCTGAAATCAACTTTCCGCATGGGGGGGGTCCAAGCCCTTAATTGCACCCATCAAGGGACCCCAAGCCCTTCACGCCTACTTCTCAGTTTGCTCGCCCCTAGGCAACCAACACCCCCCCCCCGATGACCAGTCGAAAGCAAGCCGAGCAAACCCCTCCCTCCGAGCACGGCACAAGATCCCAAATCCTCATCCGCAAGCCGCAGGACAGACACACCACCAAGCATCAGGAATCTCAGAAACCAAGCAACCCTGTAGGAATCAGAATGCAGAGCAACCTTCTAAGAAGCCAGCTGCGTACATTGAGTGGAGATCCGCGTTTTGTCGTTCAACGCCACTTTCCACAACCCGGGAACCTTACCTCACATCCCATGGGCTTGGCCGGTCCACCCGAGCCCCACCCGAGCCCCACCCGAGCCCCAGCGATCCGAGCGACCCCGAGATCGGTTCGAAGCTGCGCCTTGGCTTCCCGGGCCTTGGCGTCGTAGCGGTCCGCCGAGGTCTTCATAAAGGGCACCTCTCCGGTGATGTCCTCGTCGAGTCGCGTCGCGCGAGGGGATCGCTCGGAAGTGCTTTCTCTCCAGTGGCAATTCGGTTCCGATTGAGACATGGGAAAATGAAGCATGTTCTTGTAAGTAGCCGGAAGATGTGAATTTGGGAGGGGGACCTGGGACTCGCTCGGCCCCCGAAAGTGACCAACAAATCTCTCTGGGGGCGCGGCCACGTAGCAGCAGCCGCTGGAGACGCAGGCCTCCACCACCGGCAAGGCCTTGTCGAAGTAGGGTGTCCCCGCAAAGTTGAGGATCACCTTCGTCTTCTTCGCCACGTCCTGAGATCGTTTATGTCCGGGATGGATCTGCGTAGATGTTGCTCCCCAAGAAATCCTGAGGTGGGTTGGTTGCTTGAGTCTGCTTGAGTCCGGCGTGCATGGATACATCCTGCGGGTTTTGTCTTGTCCGTCATGGATCCGCTTACATTTTGCCCCTCAAGAAAAATAAACGGCATTTCAATACATGTCCAGGAAAATAGCCAAACCCTGTGTCTCCTGTAAGTGCTCAGCTGTCCTGGAGGTTTCTTGGAGCTCAACTCTTCGATTTCACCGATGGACCTGCATACCTCACCAACGACCCACAAGTCCTTCATGGGCAAGCTCGGTTTGCCCCAAAATAAGCTCGAAGACACCGGAAGACACCGACATACGACAAACCCTGGTGAGTTGCTGGCTTGGATTGAGTTCCACAGCGTTCTGACTGTCTTCATGGCCTTTGTCTCGTTGATTTCAAGCCCGCACAGCCCAAAGGGTTGGGGGCTGAATAGGCCTTATTTGGGCAAGGGTGGCCTCAAGAAAAGAGCGGGGTCTTTGGCTTATTTCCTGAGTAGGCCACAAGATGCCCAAACTGTTTGTGTGCCACTAAAAATGGTCTCCCTACAAAGTAAACAGTCCAGGAACCCTTGTGGACATCGAGTGTGATCTGTTGCCTTTTGTTTCTCTCTCTCTGAGTCTCTCTCTCTCTCTCTCTCTCGCCCTCTCCACGTCTCACCATGGCCATCTGGCGCATACTTTGCGTGATTGAGTCAGTGCAATCAACCCCTTCAAAGGAGCAACGTGAGCTGAATTCGCAGGAAGAGTACTTGGTCCATCTACGCAAGCTCTGCAAACGAGGCTTGCGTGAGCTCCGCACCATTTCAGCACGTCGCTCAGCGGCTCATCGCTGTCGTAAATGTTTGTTCGACTTCGGGCTGAAGAATGCACTCCCAACATCAGTCCCTTCTCTCCGCCGGGTCTAGGGAAACCAACCGAGTGTTCGACTTCGGGAGCCGGGGAAGTCCGGGGCTGGAGGGTTACGAGGGCTTCATCCTCAAGGTGGCATGCAGCTGAAAGTTTGGTTTGCGCGTTTTGTGGTGCTCCTGGACTATTTACTTTGTAGGGAGACCATTTTAGTGGCACACAAACAGTTTGGGCTTCTTTTGGCCCTCTCAGGAAATAAGCCAAAGACCCGGCTCTGTTCTTAAGGCCGCCCCCTTTTGCTCAAATAAGGCCATGATGTCGCTCTATAAATAGGAGCCCTTCGCGTCCTCCAGTGAAGCTCACTGGCCCAAATTGGACATCATGCAAGATTCCATCAGTTGTGAATTTCCATGCTGAGTTAAATGATAGCCGTGACCCTCTGAATATCTCGGATCACCGAGGCTGGCACTTTGAGCTCCTCCTCATTCTTTACGTCCACCTGCCGACTCAGTCAGTGAGACGGCTTCACGGCCAGACGTTGCGCCCGCAACGTCGACCCTGAAAAAAAAAAAACGGAAGTAGTAGGGGGATGTTTCTCCATGTTTCTCCCAAAAGCTTGGGGCTCCCCCCTGGAACATCCCCTGAGGTGACTTCCCCAATCCTTTCCATCTGTCCAGCAAGCCAGCAAAAGCCTGAAGCGCCTAGAGGCCTAAAATGGAAACTGGGCTTGAAGCAAGAAATCAACCACAATCACATCCCACGTCGCAAGGGTTGAAAGCCGGCCCAGGGACAAAAGGACCCAATAACTTTCCAGCCCTCTGGCTTGCATTGGAGAGCCTTGGGTTTGAGCACCATTGCAAGTGCAAGATGCAAGGCCTGCAGCAACGGCGTTGAAAGGAATGGACTCAACATGGTAGAGGTAGGCTCAGTTATAGAAGGTATATGATATGCCATTGATTGCTTGCTTCGCTTTGAGTCACTGGCAAAATGTAAAATGTAACCAAAGCCCACCCCTGTGAAATGGTGAAGGTTGAGACAAATGGACAAGCACAGCTCAGGGTGAGACATAGCAAATATGGCGACAGGTCGGTTCTCAACGTGCATTGGCGTCCTTGATCCGTGCCACCCCCCAACAACAAGATGTTTCTTGCTCCTGACCCTCTAACTTCCAAAACAATCGGTCAGCCATTGAAAAGCATGTAATCTGATGGACAGCAACAAAGTGGCAAGCTTCAGTTGAATTCTATTTGAAGCAGTGGAAAAAGAAGCGAATCAGGGCCAAATGAAAAGTGATACTTAATCACTGCGCCGTTCAAAACGTATTGGCCAATCCATCCTTATTGGAGAACAACTGCAAGGGGCCGCCCTGCCCAACCCGGTGTCGCGGCAACTCCCTTTCGCTGGGGGAAATATGTGGCTCCAAACCTTCTGCGAAATGACTCAAGTTCAGCCTTGCTTTTCTGGTCGGCTAAAAAAACATGCAAATGACTCAATACTCAACCCCCCACTTTTGGTTTCAATGCGGAAACTATAGAAGATAATATGCTATTCAGGTTTCCACTCCTTCTCTGGCAAAAATCTCCCCATCCCCTCCGATCCGATAAAAATGCGGCCCCCGCGCCGGGGGCCTTCAGCAGAGTCACCTCTTTGGCCGCCTCCGGCAGGTCTTTCCTGGGCTGCCCGTTTTCAGATCACCCGCTAAAAGTGACAAACTTTTGGTGGGTGAAATTTGGAAACTACCACTAAACACTAAACACTGAAAGGCTAAGAAGTGGGTAGTTAGCTACTTTCACTCCACCCACTTTTAAATGGAAACTACCACGAATTAAACACTAAAGGATCCAACAAGTCAAGGAATCGGATGGCTGGCTTCGCCAAGTTTCCTCAGCGCCTCCAACTTGCCCAAGTCCCGGCCGGCCATGGCCCATGCCACCTTCGACCCGCCTGGGAGAAGGGGACCCCGCGGGGGCCCAACGCTCGAAGATGTGTCCACAAAAGATCCTAAGGCCTTTCCAAGATCCAGTGCGGGGTATGTACTTCCACCCTCAGACAAGAGAACAACCAAGCAACAAGCCCTTTGCTGGGAAATCAGCTCGCTTGTTTAAGTTCGCGTCGCAGACCCAACTTTGCAGCATTTGACTCCGTTTAAACTGCGTAAATGTGCAGCCCCTTCCGCGAAACCTTCCGCCAAGCCTCCGCCATGCTGAGGGATACCTTCCGCGGAGCACATTATCTTTTTGATGCAAGCTTATATAAGTGCTTCGGCGGCACAAGCTGTTGCTAGAGTTTGTGAAAGGTTGACTCCACACAGGGCTTTGCGGGCATGTTTTACAAGAAAACACTCTTCGCTCGACGAGGTCGACCCCGTATGAAATCAAACCACTATGCAAGCTGCCAGGAACCCACTCGGGGTGCGCTTCCGCGACCCTTCCTCGCGAGGCCGCGTTGCTTGCTTTTTCAAGCATGTGAGCTGCCTGTATCCCAGGTGCTATATTAATTTCGGATCAATCCGGAGGACCATACCAAAAAAGGGGAATCATTTCACTCAATGCTTCTTCGATTTATGTCCTTCCGCTTTCTTCCAAGACAGCGCGTGCATCCCTTCCGCGAGCTTACTTGTTCTTCCACACGTCCACCTCTAAGCTGCTTTGCTTGGGAACTCGCTTGTGGTGAGTACACTGCTTTGCTTGAACCAAGTAAAATACCCGAGAAGACCAGATTATTCTGTGGGGCTTTGTCACGTGCCCTGAACCACGCGGATTTTGTTGGAAGACCGATTCAACTTCTCCATAGACACGTGGAGTCGCATTGCAGATTGGCAAAACCGCGCGCCTCGGTTGGCCAAGTACTCACAGGCGAGGCGGCCTGTGAAGCCGGTCGCCCCCAGCACCACCACACCAAAGGTCATCCCGACGTCGCGAGGTGCAGAAAGCCGCTTGGGCTGAGAATCGATGCTGCGGATGGAAACCTGGGTCCTCCAGTAGAGAGGTTAGAATAAGGGTACTAATTTATTTCTTCTATAGTCTATTTTAGTAGGGGAACCCTCCCCAAAAAAATGGGTGAAAGGGCACTACTCGGGGACCTAAAAGCACATTCAGGCACCAGCTGCATTGAGTGATGCGAGTGAGGTCGCTTTGGAACATGGCCGAGAAAGCCGAAGGGCAACATGAGACCGCTGCTGCACAAGCATAGGTGACCTTTTGGACAAATAGATGGCCCTGGTACATGGAATGAAACCCATCTGAACGAGTGCCATCTATGTCTAACCAAATTGTTAAGCTAACCTAAAAATGGACACCTATGTGCACAAGTTACTGTCTGGGGTCATCCAAGTCAACATTTGGGTTCTCAATGGACCCACACAGAATCCCTACAAAACCTTTATGGGTTCGCTCATGGCCCCTAAGAAAGTGCATTCCTGCCCAGCGCCTTGCCAGGCGTTCAAGCTCGCAAGTCAACTCGCGAGAAGCATGTGCCAAGGAAAAATGGATGGACAATTGTCCATGCTGCGTTTTCCATGGTTTCGGAGGCACGGTGAGCCCAACAGTTGGTGGGTTCAAGGCCTGGTGTCGATTTGGAACAATATAGTGGCACTGGTACACCCATGTGCTCAGCCAAAGCCAGTATATACGTCTATCTTCAACCGCCCTGACCGAACAAGAACACCTATCGTTCAAAGTCAAGCCCATGACAAGCCAAGCCAAGCTAAAGATCCAGGGAGATAGTATCGCGCCGCATAAAATCTGTGGCGCTTCGCGTGAGGGGACTCTAACAAAGCATTGCCTTCCCCAGCAGGGTTTGGAAATTTCTCATGTGCTCTCTGGTGTGTGGAAACATGGCCAACCACTTCCTGGTGACTGTCTCCTATTGTGCAGCCAGTTGACCGGCGGTGCTTGTGGATTTGTGGCTCAGGTGCCCTTGCCGCCTTGCACTTTTGCAACGGGGCGGCATGATTTCAGTGAACATTCCAAGCACGCTAACGACATAGGCACTCAAACATCTGCAGCCAAGTGAAGCTCGAGGCGTCTTCTGGATCTAGGCGCTCGAGACGTTTTCTCCGCAGTGGGCGCGTAGCCGCTGTCGACTGCCCGGCTTGGGGCATTTGCATGATCTGGCATGCAGCCTTCTTTGCTATCACACCGTCCGCGGATGCAGTGCAGCTAATGGCCCGGGATGCACCACCACCCCACACTGTGGGCCCCACACCGCCAGCCCACTTTGATGAGCTGAGGGGGCGGGGGCGCAATTCTATCTATCTAGCTCCCCCAAAAAGGGAAAATTGGAAAATGGACCCCCACATGCAATTCCGGTTGGCGCCCCCTTTCCCAGACACGCATATTTTATTTTTTGAAAGTGTGGGGATACGCTAACCCAGCGGGTCAGGTTGCCTGGACTGACTTGGGGGGTGCCGAAAAAGGAACACTATATGACACCTGGTGTGGCACCCTGTCAAGCCTGATAGCGCGCTGCCCGCATGCGGTGGTCACTCGCAAAGAGCCGCTTGCATTTGCACTCGCCACGGTCAAAACTCAAATGTGGAGTGGCAGGTATCAGGGTCTTCCTCGATGCGGACGTCCGAAACTTTGCACATCCCTTTAAATGGAATCGTGTGAAAGAAAGGCCAAGAGGGAGTCCAAGCAGTTCCAAGCCTGGGGAAAAATCCGCTCGTAGCCTGGTCGGCCAACCACAGATCTTTTGACCATGGCACTGGCGATTTGCAGTGCCGGTTGACTTGCCTGTGCCCGGGGAATAGGGAAAGCCACAACACCTTCAACTCATTTCCGTGGCTTGACCCCACGAGTCCAATCAGTTTGCCACCGAATTGGTCGCCCCAACTCCAAAGTCTGGAGACTGGGAATGTGGGCCAACGCCTGCGGCAGATGTCCGGCCCGGACACTGGCGACGCCAACTTGGGAGAAAGCCAACGGCCCAACCCACCCCCCCAAAGCGCCAAGGAAAAACTTCATGAATGCGCCTGAAATCAGGTCACACCGGGCTTAGTTTTCTGAAAGCCGGCTCCGGCTACCCCAAGGGCCTGATATTTCTCTGGAGGCGGGAGGCACTAGTAACATGTTCGACGCACTAACTTATTCCACCAATTCTTGCACTCTCTTGGCAATGTTCAGCGCTTTCCGAGGAGAACCTGCAGGGGAGTCACAGTCAAAACCTGATTAAATGGTCGACACATGAAGAAGAACAAAGAACAAGGCGCACCTGTTTATGGCCAGCACCCTCCCCTCGAACCTTCACTCACCGGGATGTTGATTGTGGTTCAGCTGGGGCGTCCAAAACTGAAAAACAAACCTGGGCTGCCCTCAGATCCCCTGCTAAAAGTTTAACTTTTAGTGGGTGAAATGGAAATCCCCACTAAACGCTAAACAGCTAAAAGGCAAAGGAACCGGATGGCTGGGAGCCACCAAGAAACTCAGGGTAGGGGTAGGGGCACGGGTCCCTTTGGCTTAGCCTCAGCCGCCCGCGCCACAGGCCGCCAGCCGCGCGAGGTCAGTAGGATCTATGCCGTCTGTGCGGTGCTCCTACGGGGCGGGGAGTTTCACAGTTTGGTCGCACTTCAGTGGACTTCCATGCGAACAAACGGGCCTAGCAGAAGTGTCACAAATAACCACAAATGATTAGCAGCCTCAATAACCTGACTGGGATTGCATGTAAACATATTTGAATCGGGATGGCCGCGGCCATTATCCTCAGATATCATCAGGCTACCTGAGGAGGCAGTAGGCTGCGGGCGGCAAGCAACAGGGCCGTGGCCCTGCCTCTTGTGTTTGTCGACTTTCAAGGGGACACCCCGAGGGCTAAGGGCACCACTGGAGTCTAGGGAGGGAGCATGCGACAACCTGCTTTACACGGGTCCTGGAAACAAGCTGATGAAGGTGCATCAATTGTGCATCATTTAGGTCCCGTGTTTCGCCACACCATCCAGAGGGCGTGCTTCTTCGGGTCTGAAACAGATTTTCTTCCCACGGACCGTCTGGGCACTGCGTGTGAGAGACTTTGCACAAAAATTGGGGGCCCAAAGTATTGACTGCGGTCTTTGGTCTCCATGTCCAACCCTCCCATATGGGGGTGGATCAAAAGGTCCTTTTCCTGGGATGACCATGAGGGGAAACCACCAAAACTATGATATTCTCCACGAAATGGGGAAAGTTACCCACGCTCAGGGAACATGTTATCTGGCTCACTTTACCGTGAAATGGGGCTTCGTCACAACTCCAAAGGTGGGAGCGCTTCTCTGTGCGATCTGTAGTTTCAATGAAGGAGCCTGATGTTTTGAACAATAATATCGCACCCGCCTCTCCCATCAACTTAATCTACGTGGCCATGGGAAAAAGAATCTCGTTCTTTACAGTTGATTGAAAGGGGACCCCCTCCAACAAAGGAAAGCGTGTCTGGGATTCTGCAACTGCATGCGAAGCGAACACGGGATCTAGACATCATGTCACCTGTAACAACGCCCATGCCCCCTCGCCCCCCGACATCCTGCGCTTTGCCTGGCTTGCCAGCATAAGCACCGGGCGCCTTACAGGGGCTGAACAAATCAATGCGGTTTTCGAGCTGCATTTCGTTCCTCCAACCCTGACAGAGTATTCAAAGAGGACTGAAAGCACCAGACCTCCGGTGGCCATGGGCAAAGCAGGGATTTTGAAGGACAGCCCCCTCCAAGCAAGAGGTGGAGAAAGTAACAAAGAGCGCAGGATAGGCCACACACAGTCCAAACTTGTTCGTTCCAACTAAGATGGCCTTCCTAAACAGGATGAAATCCAGGAACCCGGGAAGCGAGCGATTTTGGGGTGCTTCCGCCCGGTGCCATCCCCACTGCTTTGCTAGGTGCCGGTTGCACTGGCCGAACAAGGGTGTCTCGGATGTTGCCCGCGGGTTTAAGATTCAATTTGGCGGGTACTCATGCACAGCATACGGGGAGCTGAACACTGCCAGTATGATCTTGTCATGATTATGACTTATGTTGGCCTTAAAGCACCCGACAACCCTTTAGCCCCTCATTTTGTGTCCCTCCGACAAGGACGGGGTCATCCAACCACAACTGCAACAGCCGCTAAAGTACCATGACAACTGCAACTGTAATGTGGACCCATGACCTGAAAGTAATTAGAATGTGCAACCACGGTGGGATGTAAAGCTGTATGTCGCACGCTTGCCGCGAGTCAGAAAACCTGTGTCACGCCACATCTAAAATACGAGACAGCTCAGGCTTTCGGCCGGTCCGCACCGGAAGTGAGTACGAATCCCGCTCATCATCCATTGGAATCCCCTCAAAAAATGAAAGCGGCAAGTACTAACCCCCGCTACCACTGCACACGAGGCGAACGGTTGAGTCGGGCGCCAACAAGGAGTGAAAGAAGCTGTACAGGAACGCCTCAGCCGGGCGTCTTGAGATCCCAGATCCACAAAGTTGGTTCATCCGGGTCAACGGTACTATTCTGGCGGTCAATGCCAATGGTTTCGACAAAAAGCCTTACAGTCCTTGTTCAAGAGGAAGTTTCTCATCTCTTAAAAAAGAAGAAGCTAAACTAGTTGTCCCTTTCTGATCCCAAAAGTCTAAGCTCTTAAAAAAACTAAACCAGTTGTCCCTTTCTGATCCCAAACACTTTGAACCTTTCTGATCTCAGACCTTGCATTCCATGAGCTCGGGCGAGGTGACCGTTGAACACTGAGGCATCCGCCCAAATGGTGAGAAGCCAGGCGTGGATCAGGCGATGAAAGTGCCGCCAACTTCGAACTGCCTGCGAGATATGTTTTACTTTTATGTTTAATCACCTGTGTCTACATATATACCAATATGCATATATATATAAATAAATATAGATATGTAAATATGTATGTATATATGAGCTTGTTCATTGTTCATTTGTTCATTTCAATTAACTGCGCGGTGCCTTGGTTGGCTTGGGGGGAGCTCTGCGGTGCGCCGCGTTGCCGGCTCAAATTGCTTTGCAAATGACATCTGACTTAAACGAGGGCGGTGCTTCTCCGTGGTTGGGTTTTGGGATTTGCTGCTGGCAGCCTCAAGGCAGCGGTGCTGAGGCCGCTCGCACGCAGCTTGACTCACCACCAGCTTGGGTGGTTCGTATCGGTCGATGCTCGAGCGGTGCGGCACTTTACCGAGATTTGCACCCCAAGCTTCGCGCAGTTTGGGACAGGTGCGACTTCCAGAAAGTTGACCAGTTGCGGGGGGAGCCCAGGCAACTTGCTAAACCCAGCAACAAGCAAGCAGAGCTCGAGACAACTCCGGGCTCGGAGCTCCATTGAGGTTGGAGCCTTTGCTTAGAGCAGGCAACGAGTGCAACAAGTGCAAAGTGGTACCTTCGAAAACATGAAAACGATAACTAGGAGAATCCGCGGTTGGTGTCCCTTTCAACCAACCCCAATAGGGTACTAACTCCAAATCTAAACGAAACTTAAGGCAAAGCTAAGCTGCAGAACATGTCGGAGCCTGCAAGCGGCGCTGGCACAAGCGGCAAAAGATCGCCCATATCCAAAAGCAGCTCTCGTTTGTTTCTTCCAAAAGAGAGCACCCACCTAGGAATAATGCGCAATTACATCACAAAGTACCAACGGTGCATTTGATCAGAATCCTGCCCGACAACAAGTTGAGATTTGAGGGGTTGATGACTCGCCAGCCAAATGTTGTCCAAACCATCCTAGAGATGATAAATTTACGTTCTGGATCCCAAATTGTGCATAGGAGAGCCAGAAGGTCAAATCCGGTCGAGCTGAGGGGACATGAGGACACCGATTTCAGTCCGCCGGCGGATAGCTGTGAATCCCTGAAAGGTTTCCTCATAAGCAAAGGCTTGAATATGTCGCCCCCTTACTTGAACACATGAGAAATTGCTTGAAATCAACAAGTACCCACGCTTGTGTATGGAACTTTCAGAGTGAACACTTAGATTCTTCCCCAAATCCCTCCCACATACACCATAGACAGCCGGAATTGCTTCAGTAAAACAGGCCCAAAAGGGGCACTTTCAGAAGAATCGGCGAACGCACCTTAAAATCCCCAAAAGTCGGACGAACATTCTTCACAAATGGGGTTGGTGTCGTCTGCTGGCCGCGGGCCCAAACTGAGGGGGGCGGCGGGACAGAGAACAGCGGGACATACAACAAGGGTCGTTCAAGCCATTTTGCCTCCATGGCGATGGCGGGTGAGTTGGCAGGTATTATGTCGACGGCATCTCTAACTGTTTGCTCAGGTGATCAAGCCGGTCTTTGACGGCTTGAATCACTTCACTGTACAATTCGAACACCTTCACAAAGCGCTGTTCAAAAGCTTCCAAACGCTCTATGCCCCAGAACTTTTCAAGCAGCTTCTTTGCCTCTGAAAAATCCCGATGTCTGGCGCGCTCTTCCTCCAAAAAGTGCTCCAATGTCTCCAACCGGGCTTGCTCAACACTGTAGTCTACTGCAGAAAACTGTCCAACGGATCGTTCAATGGCCTCGCGAATCATCCGCTCGTCCTTATTCATAGGAGTAGGCTTGCCCCCGACCAATGGCGGCCCACATCGAGCCGCTTTGGAATTCACGGGCTGGAGGCACTGCCTACCAAATGCATCCACTACGGGGCTTTCAAATTCACTGCCAGTGCTCACGGATCCGCTGTGGATTTCATCACCATTGGCCTGAAAGACTGGAATTGCCAACTCTTTGGCCATGAAGAGTTCGAAGACACACCACATGCGTGAATAGATGCTGCAGGCTTCAGTGATGCAAGCGACCATGGTGGACGCTTGCCGAAGAACAGCAGCGAAGGGCCCACAACGCGGATCTGGCCCCAGCTGCTTCTCAATTGTGAGCTCCGGTACATCTTCCGCCTGATAGATGGCCGTGGCACAAACCCAATATCCGTTCGCTTCCCAGGCTGCTCCTTCACTCCTGCTCTTTCTGACGAAGCAATGGATGGCGTTCATGAAGTGGCTATACAGCTCATCCCAAGCATGGGACACCATGATGTTAGCAACTCGGGGCTCCTGAAAGTTCAGTTTCAGAGCATAGCCCAGGCCAGTGCCTCGGGTCGTTGGCGTGATACTTTTGTCAACCATGTCCCTCATTGTCCACTCGTGCCTTGGACTGAGATCGGTCAGCTGCACCAAGGAAACTCCCCAAAGCCAAGGGCCCACGCCCGCTTGCTTCGCACCCAAGAATCCAAACTCGGCTTCGGCAACATGTTCCTGGCCTCGCTCTGAATGTTCAACTGGAGGTTTCTGGGGAGATGCTGCCTTTTGGCATGACGCGCACGCTCCCATAGGCACCCGGGTGAGACAATGACTACAGGCTCTGCTTGTTGCAGAAGTTGAGCCATTTGGCTGCAATCCGAGGGAGCCATCAGGGCGCCGACTCAAAAAAACTCAGACACCGACTCATACCTCAGAGGAACTGTATGGAACAACCGGGTGGCAAAGAGGCGTGGAATCCCCACCGCCAAGCTTTGATAGAGATAGTTGTCCGGATGGGCATCTCTCTGCCAAATCCCTGGGCCTAAGTCCAACCTTTGAAGCCCAAGGTCATAGCGCCCAGGCCTGACAGCTTGGATTTGGAGGAGCAGGTATCAACCTTTCAAGCTGTTCTCGTAGCTGAATCTCGACGTCCCCACTACATGCCGGACTCCCTGACAACGTTCCCCCACCAAGCAGAAACTCACCCATCAAATTTGCCCGTCTAAAACCCCTTTTGGGGAAATTAAGCGGGAAAGCTGCGCTTTCCAAAAGGCGGACAGGTCAAAGGTCCAAGCAAAAAGCAACCAGCTCAGCCCAACGACTCGACAACGACCTTTTGAACACTTGGAGTTGCGGAAATTGAAAAAGCAGTTGGAGGGTGCTGGAAAGGACGTATCTGTAAAATATCTGTAAAAAATACAGTTCCAAAGCCCGAAATAAGATTTGGATCCCCAGGTCAAGGACCGCCACGCTCGTGTTCTCCCCTGCCTGGCTGCCCTTGGACTCTTTTGCAAGCATCATCACCGAGATCTCAGCGCCTGCCTGTGGAAAATGAGAAAATCACGGGCAATTGATTCAGAAGCAAAGGGGAGCCATGGAAAGTGCATGGTTCGACGCATGCTTCTTTTTCTGACCCAGTAAAGTCACTATCAGCCACGTGTAGTGAGCCGAATGGCTGCAATGGCTCTGGCTATGGCTCCGAAGCTTGTTTTTTTTTGGCAGAAGCCTATAGCCTATATCATTTTACGGTGTGTGTGTGTGTATACATACACATAGCTGTCGGCAACATTACAAGAAACCAGTGGGGGACATTAAACATCGATGCCCATCAACGTGCGTTACGATCCCACCCAAAACCGATAATTACAATGGCAATGAATGTCCCTTGTGAGGTTTGTTCAAAACGAAAGGGTCCAAATTTGAGCCGCACCGCCAAAGGGCTTTCTCTTTCAAAGAGTGTCACAAAAGGGTCCACAAAAAGCATCCCCATTTTGGGACCCGTCAGGGATACGTTTTGTGTGTTTGGTCGGGGGGTGGGGATGGGGGAAGGGCTGAAATGATTGACACCATTAACGTCCCCCCACCAATCCCAGATGGTTCGTTGCTCGCTCCAAGGGAAACCATTGTTTTGCGAGTAGATGTTGCATTGGAAAAGCTACGCCTGAGGAGGATGCCTAGGACCGGCCAAGTTCTCTTCGGGGCTTTCCCGGAACCTGACCCAGGATTGGCAAAAAACCCGCCTTGGCCCACATCTGGAGCACACAGAAAACATAAAAATTGCTTTGGAGAAGCCTTTAAAAGTGGGTGCAGACGGGTGAAGGCACAGTTCGTTTCATATGTTGGGCCCTACACGGCAGCAACCAAAGGTGGTAAAGGATCTGCGACTGCTATTCGTGGTATACCCGTCAGGAGAACTTCAATCGGTTCCCGTACGAAGAACTGCGGGCACATGGCTCTAGCTCTTGTAGCCCGCCAAAAACAGGCCTTCAGGATGGGATACTCAGTTCGCCCTCCGGGCTCCATGGCTGATCGGCCTTCGGAGGCAGAGAGTCCAGCGCTAGGGAGGAGTCCGTCAGAACCTCCAGGCAACGACGGCGTCGGCGTGAGGCAAAAACGCCGGAGAGCCCAGAAGCAAGCTGTTGGAGTGGTGTGTGTGTGTGTGGGTGAATAATTGGGTGGGTGGGTGGGTGGGTGGGTGGTTGCGGTGCCTCTCACGCCTATGAAGCTTTCAAGATACGTGTAAAACATTCATTGTTCAGGACTCACCTCAACCTGGGCTGTCTGGCAAGGAGCGATTCACGCCATACACAGTCACTGGTTTGAACACGCGTTAATGTTTGTCCCACGCTTCGCTTGAAGTCAATGATCCCGAAGCTGCTGGGGGGACGGTTGCCTAGCTGCCAATGGATGAGAAGATGCCGCGCATGGATCCAAAACATGGCTTGGCCATGACTCAAGACACGATCGACCTTGGGAATTTCAACGGGCTGGGCACGTACCGCTACAAGCCTCTTACATGGCTTCCAGAAGAGGTTCAGAATCAAAGATCAGGTGCAACTAAGTTTCTCGGATTTGGGTTTAACAGACAAACTCCATGAACGGTGGCCTTCCTTTTAAGGCCACCCGCCCCAAAAAAGGTACCCTCAAATAAGACACAGCCAATTGGCTGCCTCCCAGCTCCATGTTTACCGGGTCGCATCCGGCTCCGCTGCCTTGGCGAAAACTAACATTGGCCAAACCTGGAGGCTTGTCTTGTTGTGTTTTTGTTTTTTTCCTGGGGGGGGAGAAGGTTTAGAGGGGGCCGTGCAGTTTGCCGACAGTCAAGCGCGCGGAGTTCACCCGACGAAACGTTCGCTGGAGGCTTGCGGCCTTGCCGCGGCAAATCAGGCGCTGCCTCGCAAGAGAAAGCGAGCGGGCAAGGAGATGCCTTCAATCAGCCGATTGCGACGCAAGCTGGTGGTTTCCTGACAGTCCCATGCCGCCGAATGATCTGTGACAATCATTGGTCCAACACCTCAAATGAGGGAACCCCAGATGGGCCCACTACATGGGCTCATCACCTAGAAGGAATGCTGAATTCCGGACATCTCAGTCGGCAAAAGTGAGGCTAGGGGGAGCCGATTGCATACCAAAAGTGATTGAGCCTCCTGCACCGTGTGCATTGCGAAGGGATTGCCCGACGGGTTCGCGCTATGGACTCCCATGAGTTTCTTTGCTTCAAGGGGCCCGGGCTCGCCAAACTGAACCCGCAATTCCATTAGCATCCTGGCACACAAGCAAGACTCATTTGCAAACCCGTTTGGCTTCATGGCAAGCAGAACTGTCCCGGATTACACCGCAAGCATTCAGGTTTGGATTTTGGTCATCTCCGTAGCTTTTTCCCGGAAGCATTGCGAAGGGTTCTTCTTCTAAAAGCGGCTGCCAACTTCACCTGCCAACTTCTCATGCCAACTTGTCGAGAGTTACTTCACCTGCCAACTTCTCATGCCAACTTGTCGAGAGTTACTTCACCTGCCAACTTCTCATGCCAACTTGTCGAGAGTTACTTCACCTGCCTACTTCTCATGTCAACTTTTTGAGAGTTACTTCACCTGCCAACTTCTCATGTCAACTTTTCGGCTGTTATCTCATTCTACTAAAAGCACAAGCTAATTTGTCGGGTGTTACTTCACTATCCTAAAAACACAAGCTAACTTTTCTGTTCTACCTTCACATCTCGACTCTTAATTCTTCTTCTTTTTATGGCGGGGGTAGGCCCGACGGGAGCTTACGAAACGCACCCCTCTGCGGAGATCGTGCGTGTCGAAGCGCTCTCGCTGTGGCGCCGTGCGAATTTGTCTTGACCTTGGCGAACCCTCTGCGGAGATCGTGCGTGTCGAAGCGCTCTCGCTGTGGCGCCGTGCGAATTTGTCTTGACCTTGGCGAACCCTCTGCGGAGATCGTGCGTGTCGAAGCGCTCTCGCTGTGGCGCCGTGCGAATTTGTCTTGACCTTGGCGAACCCTCTGCGGAGATCGTGCGTGTCGAAGCGCTCTCGCTGTGGCGCCGTGCGAATTTGTCTTGACCTTGGCGAACCCTCTGCGGAGATCGTGCGTGTCGAAGCGCTCTCGCTGTGGCGCCGTGCGAATTTGTCTTGACCTTGGCGAACCCTCTGCGGAGATCGTGCGTGTCGAAGCGCTCTCGCTGTGGCGCCGTGCGAATGTCTTGAACCCTCTGCGGAGATCGTGCGTGTCGAAGCGCTCTCGCTGTGGCGCCGTGCGAATTTGTCTTGACCTTGGCGAACCCTCTGCGGAGATCCTGCGTGTCGAAGCGCTCTCGCTGTGGCGCCGTGCGAATTTGTCTTGACCTTGGCGAACCCTCTGCGGAGATCGTGCGTGTCGAAGCGCTCTCGCTGTGGCGCCGTGCGATTTTCTTGCTCGCGAAACGGCTTTTGGAAGTTGTCTCGTGGTGTGCGCGCCTGCTTTCGCAATCCCGCGGTCCCGGGTTCGATTCCCCCCTGGTCCGCGGCAGCTCCGGCTTGAAAATCGCAGCTTTTAAGTACAAACGTAGTACGCGGAGCGTGCTCCTGCAGCTCCGGCTGGAAAATCGCAACTTTTAAGTACAGACGTAGTACGCGGAGGCTGCTGCAGCTCCGGCTGGAAAATCGCACTTTTTAAGTACAGACGTAGTACGCGGAGCGTGCTCCCGCAGCTCCGGCTGGAAAATCGCAACTTTTAGATACAAATGGCTGGAAAATCGCAACTGTAAATTGCAAATGTAGCACGCGGAGCGCCTCCGCCGCTCCAGCTTTTTGAGGGTTAATTACTTCACCTGCCAGTTTCTCATGCCGAAACTTCGAGAATTACTTCACCTGCCAGCTTCTCATGCCACCTTTTCGAGAGTTACTTCACCTGCCAACTTCTCGTGCCAACTTTTCGAGGAGTTACTTCACCTGCGAGCTTATCATGCCAACTTTTCGAGAGTTACTACACCTGCGAGCTTCTCATGCCAACTTTTCGAGAATTACTTTACCTGCCAACTTCTCATGCCAACTTTTCGAGAAATACTTTACCTGCCAACCTCTCGTGGCAACTTCACCTGCCAACTTTTCGAGAATTACTTCACCTGCCAACTTCTCATGCCAACTTTTCGAGAAATACTTTATCTGCCAACCTCTCGTGGCAACTTTTCGAAAAATTACTTCACCTGCCAGCTTCTCATGCCAACTTTTCGAGAGGTACTTCACCTGCCAACATCGCCTGCCAACTTTTCGAGAGTTACTTCGCCTGCCAACTTCTCGCGCCAACTTTTCGAGAATTACTTCGCCTGCCAACTTCTCATGCTAACTTTTCGAAAGTTACTTCACCTGCCGGCTTCTCACGCCAACTTTTCGAGAGTTACTTCACGCGCCATCTTCTCGTGCCAACTTTTCGAGAATTACTTCACCTGCCAGCTTCTCACGCCAACTTTTCGAGAGTTACTTCACCTGCCAACTTCTCATGCCAACTCTTTGAGAGTTATTTCACCTGCCAACTTCTCATGCCAACTTTTCTCTTGAGTTACTTCGCCTGCCAACTTCTCATGTCAACTTTGCGAGAATTACTTCACCCGCCAACTTTGCCAGCCAACTATTCGAGAGTTACTTAACCTGCCAGCTTCTCATGCCAACTTTTTGAGAATTGCTTCGCCTGCCAACTCCTCATGCTAACTTGGCGAGAGTTACCTCACCTGCATCAACTTGCCTCTATGCTTCCGGGCCACTCGTCGTCTAGTTCTTTTGAAAGAGACCTTTTTGGGCTTCCAAGGGGCAAGAACACCAACCACTTGTCTTGGCAGGACTTACACCTGCAAGTTTCATGGTTTGCTGGTTCAAAGGGAACATGATGAACACCCACATTCCGATGACAAATGGGCAAGCAAGCAAAACGGCAACTGTAGGCAAAAGTCTACCGGAAAGCTACCCCAAGAGCAACTTTGAGAACCCCTCAAAATGCTCCCAGATTGTTCGCACGTACTCACGTGGGCAGATTTCACTTCAGCAGCGCTTCATTGCGTGCTCGGCTAAAGATCTGCACGCATGACTGCACGTTGCAAAAACACTATTGGTTCCGCAGCGTGCCATTGCAGCCTGCCAGCAAAGTGAACAAGAACGTAACCATTTCATCCACTTGTGTGCGGGCATTTTTGCGAGGATACTTTTTAAGCCCAGGGGCCATTTGGCAAATCAGGATTTGCGAAGCCCCCAACTTGAGCCCATACCGGTGCATCCGAATGAGGTCGTTGTCCCTTGCGCTTTCCTTTCAGCCCCATCCGTAGGCTTCCCGCGCCTTGATGCCTCGACACCGGTTAGCCGCTCGGCCTCCCGCGTCAAGCATGGCCTAAGGAACCGGATTCTTTCCCGGGCCGATGAGAAGACCAACCTCCCAGGTGGGGCCGATGAGAATAGAAAGTTCCTGGGGCCCTAAGAACCAAGCCAACAAGAGTTCCAAGAAGTTAACCTGGATAGGCGAAAAAGCAAAACAACTGAGGCACAAGGAATCACAAGGAACCATAATCGAGAATGTTCTAATTGTTTCTACCCTTGGGGGTGGTCATCGTTTGGAGTGACCCTGTTTCTGGGAGCGGGCCATGCGAAAAACGGCTGGCTGCCTTTGTTGTTGATTGTTTTTACATGGAAACCCTTCCCCCTCCCCCTCCCAAAAAAAAAGAAGAAACAAAGAAAACTGTGTAAAGCAATGGCACGTTTTATGCGTAGAAACATCCCCCCGCCCCCCCCCCCAAAAAAAAAAAAAAACGGTGTACAGCAATAGCACGTTTCATGTGTAAAAAAGCATCCCTCCCCGCCCAAACAAAAACCGGAGGACACATGGCACCGGGAGTCTCGGTCGCGGAAGCCGCCAAGCTCACCAGCTGAGCCCCTGGCAAGCGGCTGCCTCGCGGGAGCGTCAGCTCGAACCTGGGGAGCAGCGGGGAGCGGCGGGGAGGGGGACGACGTTTTTCGCGGGTCTTCAGGGAACCTATCGTTCTAGGGGCTGATTGCCCATTCTTCTCAACCATGGTTCTTTTCAAAAACCAGCCGTTTTCGCTGGGCTTCCTGAGTCAGGGAGCGGCTTTAATGTTGACCCCGGCTTAATTAACCACAGTTTATTCATATGGGGGTGTCCCTGGTTTTAGTGGGGATTCATCACGTTTGGAGGGGAACACCCCCATATTAATACAGGGGTTTATTAATCCGGGGTCAACATTAAGGGAACCTATCGTGGATGCCAGGCAAACCCGTATTAGGTGTGGCTCAAAAATATGGGTTTTCACAACGGAAGCCTGGCAAATGGAAAGGTAGACTGAAACCTGCGTAGCTCCAGCTGTTTAATTGTGAGCCACACCCATGTAGTATAGATACGCTAGTTTCCTTTTTGTTAAAGGGTGGCTTTGTTGGTTGCCTACTATGCAGGCAAATGGATCCACTGCGAAACGCGGGGGAAACCAGCCCTTTGAACTGCTCGCCGTGGACAACTTTGAGAAACAGGTCTCAACCGCCGGCTCAGACGGAGAATCTTGCGGGCCAACGGCGCTCTTGACGTCAAAGGCTCCCATGGGAGGACTCAGCAATGGCTCCAAGTAAGATCATGAATGTCTGCACAAAATCCGGGGTGATGTTCTCATGAAAAAGCCAACCCCAGTTTATGAACAGGGGGTGTCCCAGGAAATTGTGGGGAATCATCAAAATTGGAGGGCAACACCCCCCTATTAATAAACTGGGGTTCATAAATGATTAACATTGCATAATTCCACTCATTTCACTGTGGATTGGCTTGGGCAGCACGAAAGCACAATCAGACTGGTTTAGTTGCCTCAAAAGAAAGCTGGGCGCCTGTTAGCCCTTTGTCACGAAGCCATTCTCAATATCGAAACGCAGAACCAAGAGGCCTCAAGAAAGAGAGGTATTCGAGGTTGCAAACCACTTTTGTTATGTCACTGAATGTCGCCCAATCCTTTGATCTGTCCCCCTCCCGAATTGCAATACGCATTGCAGGCAAGTCTCTTGTCACGCTGGTGCTGAAGCCGGATCTTGATGCCATCCATGTCCGAACGGCGCATGCCAAGTCAAAGAGTGTGTGTGTGTGTGTCCCCTAAAGTCTAGCACACCTTGGAGCCCGAGAATCTGTCTTTCCTCACGCGCTCATTTCTATATGTGTTCATGTGTAAGCATGCGCACATCATGCTTGAGCAGAAGGTTGAGTCAGACGGTTGCGCCGAATCTGTGGCAAGGGTGGACGAAATGTCAGGGAAACCGAAGCAAACTTATAAGTTGCTTTTGGTTGCTTACGACCCGCACCCACCCCAGTGATTGTGCGCCAACAAGGCGGGACCAAACCCTTGCTGCTGGGTCGTCCTTATGGGATCGCGGGCTAGCTGAGCCCTCTTCATGCCACTCGGCGTGCCAAAGCCTAAAACAGCCGCCACTTTGAAGCTCATAGCCGCTGCCCCCCAACACAATCAATGAACCCTGAAAGGATGTCAAAGGTCCCCCAATCAAAAAACGGACCCACATGCTGGCGCCTTGCACCAGCCAAGCGGAGTGCTTTGGAACGAACTTGGCAAAAGGCTGTTGGATGCATCTGCAACAAGGATAAGTAACAAACCCGAAATGAGGGGCCCGCAAGAAAGCACCTGTGGGATCGCAAGCCTCCGTTCCGCCAGGCCGATTTGGCAAATGGCAATGGCACCCCTGGACAGCCCATGCGACCTGTGCTTCATTCTCTGGGCGTGTCCAAACCACCTTCAAGCCCGCCAGGGCCAACACCCAGCTGTACCCCTCCTTGCCCTCAATGAGCTTCACCGAAAGTGGAAGCGCAAGCCTTGCGCAGCTCTGGGCCTTGGGGAAACCAGCCCAGGGCAGTGGTCACCTGAGGCCATTGGGGTAGTTTCTGGCTTTTGTTCGTTCCGTGGTTGCTTTCTAATCTTCGACTTCTTCTTTTTGTGTCTCTCTTCGCTGAAGCAGCGCACTGGCGTGATCGCAACGGCCGCTCGGTTCAAAAACAAAAGGAAGATTCTGGCGCCCACACGCCCACACGCCCACACGCCCACACGCCCACACCCACACAATGCACCGCATAGACAGCGTGCACCTTTTCCCACGGGGCGCGCGGAATGTTCGCTTGAATGTTTGGCATCACTTGGCGTAGGTCTCCATGAACTCATTCAGCAAATCGCCCTCCCATTGATCCTTAGTGACATGCAAGCAGGCAAACAGCTTACCCACGAGCCAAAGGTGGCAAAATGGCCAGGGTCGGGCAAATTGATCTACCAAAAGCTGGCGGATGGCCAGAATTTGAGCTCGCTTTGGGTGGGAAAGGACATTTCCCTGGAGTACCGCAAAAGCACGGTATCGTTGTTCTGCAGTTTGACTGCTTCTATAACAAACAATGCGTAAGCATGTTTGAACAAACCGCAGCCTGCCCAGCTTAGCCAAGTATGCCAACAGACAAGTCGATGTTTGGGCCAAGCTTCTGATGTTTAAACTACTCTTGCTTGAGCTGTGGCTTCCCTAAGTGCAAGATCTTGCAACATGATCCTGGTGCGGGGCCCGGGGTTTCAGCTTGGTTGAGACAGGAGGCCAAAGGACCCCGTGTACCGAATTCCGGTTTTCAGGTTCAAATATATGTGGGTACTAGGGGGACCCTCAAACTGGTGAATTTCCCTCTGGTCCAAAAAGGGTACCCAAAGAAAAGAACGCCAAGTGGGCAAAATGCGTAGACTGGATGGCAGTGACAAAGTCAAGCCACGACGCTTGGACGCTTGGGGCCCGTTGTCTTTCTGACTGCCGATCCATTGACGTTAGATTTGCCCTAATCGGCATGCCCGCTGCCAACAAGCAATCTTCTGGATTCCAGGGCATGACGCCAACATGGCCAAAGCTTTCCCACCAAGCCCAAGAAACATTCAAAATACTTGCTCCGCCTGCAGATGAACACGGAACCCACAGAGCCGTCATGCATTATAAACCCATGGCTCGCCAGGCCCCTTCACACGGCCAAGCAGCGATGACATGCCCGCGGCCTGGCGCAAACTACGAAGCAAAGGTTCGCAGAAGGGCTCTCCAAACCTTTTCGGGGCTGGGGGCCCTAATCTCTCTCAACGGCGAAAAAGGGAAATGCAACGCAGAAACATCCAATCTTGTTTGGGCAGATCAAGGGGCAGGCCTGCAGCCTGCAACCCCCGCGGCTAACTCAAGCATTGGTTTGTAGAAAAAATCCCCAGCTTCGCTAAGCTGACGCATTCCTTGACTAGAGTGAATAGAATCAAACTGCCTGAACCCATGCTCATCTGACAACAGCTTAGAAACCAATTGAGTCCGAAAACCTGGGAGAACCTCCCGCCAGGACTACTTTCCTGGAGGTTCACATTTGGCATGCAGCCCCGCAAATCCTTCATTTCGAAAAGAATTGCGGTTTCCATCCTATGCAGGTGAGTCACATCATCGCGGTCAGCAACTCACTCATTTCCCTCCAGTGGTGAAGCCCTTTTGGGCACCACGTGGGCTGGCCTTTAGAACCTTATGCCCTAGTATTCTTTCCTGCATCGTTTTTGTCCTCTGCATCGGTGTCCAGTGCTTTTTGGGGCTATGAGTAGCTAAGTGTGCTCTGCTTCGCTGGCGTGGCCACGTAACACGCATATGGGAAAAGCAGGCAGCAGGCAGCGGCGCACGGGCTTGTTTCGAGTGTTTCCAAGGCTCGGTGATTGGGAAGAGGAACTCGAGTTGGTGTTAGCAAACTTGGTTAGGTATCGACTTAGTATTCTCTTGAGTATATGGTCCTGTAAGTTTCCCGCTCCGGAACTTCAGTAACAGATGCGGGCTTTCAACATCGCATAATAGCCAAAACGCGCGTTTGAAGAAAAACGCAACGACCCATGCACGTGCAAAAAGAGGAGTACGCCCAAAGCAACCCAACATCCCCACTCTCCTCCCCTGCCCCCCCCACCCCCGCCCATCTCGGTTTGCTGGTTTCCCTGCAGAAGGCCTTGGCAAAACAAAGGGAAGGGGGATGGGTCCGGAAAGAAGGGGTTGCAACCATACGACTTGAGCTTCTCCGGTTCCCGCCTGAAACGCTCCGGAACTGCAAGCCCGGCCAGCGTGGCTGAAGCTGCTGAATCCTCAGCGCGCCCTTTCGGCGTGCGACAAGGTTGCCTGTCGGCCCCCTTTCGATGTTTGCGTTTTGGAACAACCGGCGACGCCTTGAATAACTCAAAGTCATCCAAGAGGGGTTTCGGGATTGGACACGATGAGCGGCCCTGCCTGGCCCCTTCTCTCAAAGAAGGGTTCAAAAGATGTCAAAAGGCAAGCCCGGAGGATCCACAGGAAAGCTAGAAGCAGAAGCCTCTGACGGCATATCCCACCGCCCCCCGCACTGGAAGAAATGCGGGCCCCTTTGCAGAAGGTGCGGCTCTCCCCTTCCCATACTTTGCCTTGTGCAAATCTCGCCTTCAAGAAGAGCCCGGAACCTGCGACCAGGTTGCCCTGCCATCCGAAAAAGGCTACCACAAGGCTCCAAAGACCCCGCAGAACTTGGCCAACTTTCGGCCCAAAGGGGTTCGCCTGACTGGCCAAGAGCAACCCTAGGCGACGCCTAGAGGACCCGTTTGGGAGGAAGTCAGCGACCCCCCCACCCGAACCACACTGGAAGACCAAATTTGCTGCTTGAGCCTTTGTCAGGTGCTCGGGGAGGGTTACCTCACGGAGGAGACCAGGTCAGATCCGCTTGATTCGCTCACAAGTGAAGTTCAGTGCCCCCCTTTTGAATGACCCTAACAGTCAGAAGATTCATCGGCTGAAGCCCGGGCCCCGGGCCCACACACAAGAAGGGAAAGTACAAACCTCAACGGTCCGAGAGCTGTCGAGGGAATGTATCCGTGATGTGCTCTGCCAAAAAGCTAACGGAACCAAACCAATTAAAATTAAACAACCAACTTCATCCACCAAATGAGGGGTTCTTGACTCCTGCGCTCAAGTGCGCCAAAGAAAAAGCAACTAGCAAAATCAGACCCAAGCGATTTCGGGGGGGGGGGATTTGGAGCAGTGCCCCAAAAGCGGCCACCCCGAATCGAGAGCCTTCCGTCCGGGGCCAGCGCCGCTGCGCCAGGCTCCAGGGGATCCATTGGTCATCCTGACCAATCGATGGGCTCACGAAGGCATTTCCTCCCAATCCAAGTGGAACCAATTTACTGGAGGGTCTCCATTGAAACGATGGGTTTCCACTTTTGGACATGGAGGAAAAGTTTGGATGGGTTTCCACGTTTTTTGCTTTCATGGTTTTGCTCTAAACAAATGGGCATGGAGGAAATTCTGCGAGAGAGGAGAAGGCCTTGTCCGCTTTGGAAATGCCACAAAGATGACATGCAGCAGTTCTGAGATAAGTTGCTCCCATGCGACCCGAAAACGGGACCAAAGGAGCATTTCAGTCCGTCAAAGAAACATTATCATTATTTTTGTTTCAAGAAGGTGAGCCATTTTCTCGCCAAATGTAGCTCTCGCCGGTGGGGATACCAGGCGACGCAAATCCGACAGTTTGGATTTAAAGGGGCAGTCACTTGCTCAACACGACAAAGAAGGAAGAAGCCCAAATCAAAGTGCCCATTGCTGGCTCTCAGCGAACGAGGAAATGACCCTAGGCTCTGAACCTTTTGGGCCATTTCGTGTGGTTTCTTTCAAAACCCTTCTTGACCCCACTGGGAACCAGCAAGAAAGGCCAGCAAGAAAGGCCAGTGAGAACGCCTTTGTTCAGCTTGGCGCGCTTGGTGAGAAACTAAACTTGCCACCGCGCTCGCTCTTACAGCCAACTGGGTCCATTCAAGTGACAGAATCCAAACTAACTACCCTTGCTTCCGGTGGTTGAGAAGGGAAACCTGCGGGTCCCAAAACTGACTTTGAAACGCCCTCAACATGCCACCACTTTAGTGGACCCAGTGGAAAGGGTTAACTTGCACCACTAAAGACGAGGCCCTGGTCGTCCGAGCAGAAATTGTTTTCTGGTTCTGACCACGGTTGGAGCCTGCAATCCACGCTGCGTGGAAAGAGGGTGAGCTTTTCTGGGCCGAAATCATGAAGAAACAGCCAAACCAGGTGGGGCCCTCCTGTTCTTGATTTCCGGCGGGTTCCCTATCCAAGAAGGAGTGCCATTGCAGCAATCAAAATCGGGTACAGGGGTAAGTCGTGTAAGCGCAACTTCTGGCTCTCCCAGACTAACCTTCAAGCACTCAGACGTTGGTTGTGGCTCATCTCGTTTTACCCAACGGCCAGTTCTCAGAATTCAGGCTACTCACCTGCCCAACGTATTCGCTTGGCTTGCTTCACGTCGCTTCCTGGGCATGCGCGCTCGAGATAGGGGTTGGCATGAAGGGAGTTAACCTTTCGCCTCCCTCTACCAATGCTGCTTTCCCCGAGTTCACTTGTTTACTTTCTCCGTACATGCCGGGCCAATGCAAACTTTGTCCCAGTTTGGGGCGGTCTCTTGCCGAGGATTTTGTTACTATCCCCAGGGAATATTTAGGCGGGTCGGGTTAGGATTGCTTTAGGGTCGACTTGGGGCGGTTTAGGATTGGTTGAGGCTGGTTTATGGTCACTTGCTTGCTTGCGGTTGGTTTAGGATCGTTTTGGGGTTGGTTTAGGGTTGTTCTAGGCATGATCAGCACAAACATGGTGGCTTTCCTTCTGGCACCCTTTTAAAACTGAAAAGGATACTCTTAAAAACAAGCACGACAACACACACACTTATCTCGAGAGGCTTCATTAGCCGAGCTGAGACACTTGGCTTCCCTTGGCAACAACAAAAAGGAGAAAGCAAACAGCACCATTTTGGGAGCCCAGGGGACCAAAGGGAAAAGCCTCACAGCGACAGGTACGGAATCCCACGTCTGGGATTCCTTCCCTCCTGGCAACCTAGCTTCGTTGGCCAAGGTCAGTTGCCAGGAGCCTTGACCCCCTGCCGGTTTTTTTATCGTCCGTGATCCAGGACGTCACACACACACAAAGCCCCGGTGGGGCGAACATAAAAGGAAAGCCGACACAACACCGAACCCCACAACCGCGAACACAAACCACACAGAGGGAATTCCACCAGGGGACCGCCAAAAACCCCGCGGCAACGGCAAAAAATTTTCAAAGACGACAAACCCGAGCACACAAAACCAAGCAGAGGGAATTCCACCAGGGGACCGCAGGAAACCCCGCGGCAACAGCAAAAGAATTTCGAGGGACGCAAAGCCAACTTCAACCTGCGAATCGAAACCAAACAGAGGGAATTCCACCAGGGGACCGCCAAAACCCCGCGGCAACGGCAAAAGTTTCCACAGAAGACAGCGAATTGCATGGTGAGAAGCTGAACGCGAACTGAACTGAATTGAGACAGTGGCTGCGATGAACGCTACGATCTGCAAGGTTGGTATGTGACCAACCTACCACTTGCGCATGCAGAGCAAATGCCTGAAACCTGTCATGAGGCCTGACCCCTCCTCCCTCCCTGCAAGCAGTGCGAGCAGAACATGCAATCAATTCACAAAGCCCAGTTGGGGCGCGCATTCCTGTGACCTCAAGCGGCTGCCTTGACCATGTTCGCACACGCTGAATGTTCTCTTGAACGTGAACGCTTGAACGGTCTTCCCCTCGCAGGGGGCTCCCGCATCTGGCGAGTCCAGCCCACGGCGCCATGTCGGACAGGCCGTGGGTATACACACTTATCTCGAGAGGCTTCATTAGCCGAGCTGAGACACTTGGCTTCCCTTGGCAACAACAAAAAGGAGAAAGCAAACAGCACCATTTTGGGAGCCCAGGGGACCAAAGGGAAAAGCCTCACAGCGACAGGTACGGAATCCCACGTCTGGGATTCCTTCCCTCCTGGCAACCTAGCTTCGTTGGCCAAGGTCAGTTGCCAGGAGCCTTGACCCCCTGCCGGTTTTTTTATCGTCCGTGATCCAGGACGTCACACACACACACACAAACACACACACACAGACACACACACAGACACACACACACACACACAGACACACACACAGACACACACACACAGACACACACAAACACACACACACACACAGACACACACACACACACACACACAGACTCACACAGAGACACACACACACAGAGACACACACGCACACACACAGACACACACACACACAGACACACACACAGACACACACACACACACACAGACAAACACAGACACACACACACACACAGACACACACACACAGACACACACACAGACACACACACACACACACAGACATACACAGACACACACAAACACGCACACACACACACAAAAACACACACACACAGAAACACACAGACACACACAGACACAGACACAGACACAGACACACACACACAGACACACAAAGACACAGACAGAGACACACACAGAGACACACACGCACACACAGACACACACACACAGACACACACACCCACCCACCCACCCACCCACCCACCCACCCACCCACCCACCACCCACCCACCCACCACCCACCCACCCACCCACCCACCCCACCCACCCACCCACCCACGCACGCACGCACGCCCGCGCACGCACGCGCGCACGCACGCACGCACGCACGCGCCCGCGCGCGCGCGCACCCACACACACACACAGACACAGACACAGACACAGACACAGACACAGACACAGACACAGACACAGACACAGACACAGACACAGACACAGACACAGACACAGACACAGACACAGACACACACACACACACACATACACACACTCACTCACACACACACACACACACACACTTACACACTTACACACTTACACACTTACACTTACACACACACACTTACACACACACACTTACACACTTACACACTTACACACACACACACACACTTACCCACTTACCCACTTACACACTTACACACTTACACACTTACACACACACACACAACACAACACAACACAACACAACACAACACAACACAACACACACACACAACACAACACAACACAACACAACACACACACACACACACACACACACACCACACACACCACACACACCACACACACCACACACACCACACACACCACACACACCACACACACACCACACACACCACACACACCACACACACACCACACACACACACACACCACACACATGCCCTGTTTGGGTTCGGTTTGGGGAACCCACCCGATTGGCATGCCCCTTTTTTCCAGGTCCAAGACCAAGAAATCCGAGTGGCCGCTTCACCTCCTCATAGGCGTTCTGCACCTTGGAGGCGTAGTCTGCCAGGTTCTTGGCCGCCAGCATCCCGGGCTTCGCACTCTTCGCCCTGGCGCCCAGCTTCAGCGCCTCCTGCGAATTTCTCGTTCTCAGCGCGGGATCCCAAGCCGTGCCGGGTGCCTTTCCTTTACCTCCATTTGCTTGAGCCCCCCGGAAAAAATAAACAATACTTCCAGTAGTGATAGATTGCCTTTAACACCAAACGGGGAAACATATTCTCAAGCAAATGGAAGTTTAAGGTCCCTGCGCCCAAACCCCCGAGAACCAGAAAAATGGCGTGGTTTGTCATGGCTCCACTTAGGGCATCACCGCAGGGGATGCCCGAAAGATTGCAAGGAAGCCAAGCACCGTCAGTTTCCTCGTTTCCTTTTCTGCAAGTTTTAGGGCAACCACCAATCCCAGGAGAATCCCGCAATTGAGGAGGCCAAACATGATATATGACAACACCACTTGAGGAAGGGGAACATACGGACCCTTGAAAGAAACGACGCTTTGGGGGCAAGCACTTCAACGCAGTACTGCTGACCCCATTATGTGTTGCATCCTGTTACTTACCCTAGGTCAAATTACGCTTGAACGCGGTAACCGAAGAGCATGAAGGAGGTCGTCTGTCGCCGCATTAGCCCAAACCAATGAATCCACGCGATCAAAGGGGAAACTAACTTGTTGACATACTCACTCACTCTCTCTCCTTCCCTCCGTCCCCCCCCTCCCCTCCCTTCCTCCCTCCCTCCCTCCCTCCCCTCCCTCCCTCCCTCCCCCCTCCCCTCCCCTCCCCTCCCCTCCCCTCCCCTCCCCCCTCCCCTCCCCTCCCCTCCCCTCCCCTCCCCCCCTCCCCTCCCCTCCCCTCCCTCCCTCCCTCCCTTTCTCGCGCACTCGCTTGGACAAAAACATGTCGCTTCGAAACGAGTTGACGCTGTGGAGTCTGCCAGCCATCTTTCCATGTTTGATTTCCCTCTGGTAGACTTTTACTGATGGGGCAGTTGATTTCTCTTTAAGGGGGGCCTTGATTTCAAGACTAGTTTTGAGGATATCCCATTTAATCTGCTAGGTTGACTGCTCTGTCAACATTGCAACCTTGTAGAGCCAGGCCTTTAGACATCAGGTGGTCCCATTCAACAGGGTCACCTATATCCCTTTTAAACATCACCCCACTGAGAGGGAACTCACCCAAACTCATTGCCAAATTACCATGTGTCAAACAACCAACCAAAATCCGACGCCGGCAACGGAAGCGACGGAAGCGACGGAAGCGACGCTGACTGCCGGTCCCGGCTGAAGATGGGGGGCCGCTGCACCACGTCTCCGAACTGGACCCGAGTTCTCTGCTCCGGCTCCACCTCCGAAGCCTCCGCACTTGCGGCGAAGGCAACTTGTCGTTGTCTCTTGCGGCGAAGTTCGGCTCAGAGTTGTTGCATGGGTTCCGTCTTATAGGAATCCTTTGCCCCCCTCTAGTGGTATCTATACTTGGTTCACCTTGGCAGTACTCTGCACCTGGACTGGAACATTTGAGCTCCCGAAAGCTGTGGCTCACCCGTAGCACCAAACCAAACGGTGATTGAAGTAGTACGTCCACAACCGCCTACTAAATTGCCTTCAGGCGAAAGCTTCGGGTCTGCCTGTTGGGGATGCCAGCAATGCTACAGTTGTTGGGTTGGGTATGCTGAACAGGGCTGTTGAATGTTGACAACTAATGCATGGATGTTAGGCCCAATGAGAACATCAGAATCGTGAGCTCGGCTTTGTGACTCTGAAGGGCATGTTTGTTATTGCCGTGGCCCCAAACGTATATGTTCTCTTGACTTGGTTGTTAAAATGCAGGGTTGGCCAATGTTGGTCATCCGAGTCCAACGTCTCTATTGGAAACAACATCTGCGAAGGGAAGCTGTTTCGTAACAACATGAAAAATGAAGAGATCACTTTGCTGGTTCAAACACCTTGCCAATGTTTTGCGAGTTCCCTTTGGTGGGGTGATGCGCGTAGGCGGCATGAAAGGAATTGTCTGAGAAATTTTGGCAGTGGGGTGAGTGACATGAAAGCAATGTTCGCGGTCGTCTCGCCCTTTGTGGGTTTGGGCACGGTTGGCCGACCGGCTGTAAAAGTGCCCCGCTAGTGCCAAGGGCCAAGAAAAAGGAACGTGATGGAACGTCCACAATTCCTCAGGGTCAACATGGACGGATGTAGTGTGAACAAATATGGACATCTGCCGAAACTTTCTTGGACATGAGTCTGAGAAGAACTCTACAGTGCAAAAGGAGAAAACCCCCCTCAACGTTCATCCCGTTCAGCCAATGCAACAAATGAGTGGCTTCCTGCAATTTCTATCCGCGGTCTCAGGGCCCCTGTGGTTTACCCGTGTTGGGCAAGCTAGGCGGGGACTCGTCTTGCGAGCGGGATGCTCCCAAACCTTCCCTTCCAGACCTGGTGGTTTCTCTGAATGTTAACCAGCTTGGTTCCCTACTATATTCGTAACTGGATGTAACTGGGTGGTTTTTCCCAGAGACAAAAACTTAGATCTCTTTGTGGAAGCATGCGGCACCCAGGAAACCGCGCTCATCCGCTTGCGACAGCCACCGAAACAGACGGCAGGGGCCATACGCCTCTGCAGTGGAACGGGAAAATGAGGGGGAGAGGGGGGCTGCACGGAGTTCCTTTCATTTTCAAACAAGGGATCAACAAGCGAGCACGCAAGCGGAGCCTGATTTTTACCCCTCCACGGCTCAACCCCAGATGTTGGGGAAAGCTTGTTTCACCGTTGAGGTTTTGGGTGAGGGGGCTTGGGTTCTTTGAGGCAGGGAGCTCCCACTCGTGCCACTGGCCTCTGTTTCACTGGATGGCTTTTACCCCGCTAAAAGTGAAACCCCGACCCCCAGTGGCCATGCGGACCCATCATTCCCAAAGAAAACAAAACTGGAAATGCTCCCCTGGGCGTTTGCCCCAGCATTCACTCACTTCCTGCATGGATTGGCAAAAAACTGTCCAAACTTTTGGGCCGCCACAAAAATGGTCTTCCCCAAAAGTGGCTAAAGTCAAGGAACTGGGCTGCGAGTTCAAAGTCAACCTCCTCTAAATCCAACCATCGATCGTGGAAGGCCTTGGCTTGCAAGGCTTCCGCCTTGGCCGTCTTCAAGGCTTTGGCACGCTCCTGTGGACGAGGAATCGGACCGCCAAGGACCCCACCAATGAAAGAGACCTCCATGTCAGCGCGGCCCCAAATGACACCCCGCGTTGGCCTTTTCTCAAGCCCGTTCAAAAGGAGCACCTCAGCTCATCGCGGTAAACTCGAAGAAAGTGGGGCGTGACCGGCCGGCTGCCAGTTCTGCATTGCAAATCCACATTCCCGTATACATCTACATTGTGGGCGCGTTTTGAGGTTCGGGAGGTGAGGGGGTGCGGAGGCTTCTCTCGCGGCCTTCTTGCGCTCGCGCTGATGGTCAGTGGTCGCCTTCTTCTGCACAACCTGCTGGCCCGAGCCGGGCCAAAAAGCGCTCCGCGTCGCTGAGTCGCCCCGAAAGCTACTCGCCTTGCAATGAAAAAGCTGCCCTCCCGAATTCGGGTTCACGACTCTAAATCCATACAAAAGGTCCGACTTTGAGACACAGACTTGCATTCATGCCATGCAAACTGGAAGTCACGGCTCCAAGACCTCTCCGATTCGACCCTGCATGAACTTGGTCCCCTGGCTATGGCCCCACAGACCCTGCAGGGCAGACAAGTTGGGCAAAGCAAAGCCAAAGGAAACTAAAGTTCTCTTCTTTTGGGGCTTGGCCATCTGTCAGCTCGGAGCAATCCCCTCACACGCCAGTGCCCAGCCGATGCAGGTGAAAAAGAGATTTCGCTGCCTCGTCTCTTTTGTTAGCAAAAGGAGTCTGAAATTGTGTCTTCTCCACCCAAACAGTCCTCCCATAAAGCATTAACCCCTGAAGCAGAGCAGCCTGGCCCTGCAAAACTTTCGACTGTCTGCAGCTGCCTCTTGAACTCCAAGAGAATACTTACGTCGCAAGCACTAACAAATAAAACAAAAGAGTTTGAGCCCCTGTCCAACAACCATAGAAGTGGAACGAGGGGCTCCCAAACGGAACCTAGCCCTCCTGTCAGCGTCCGGAAGCACCTTAAATTGCCAGCCCATGTTCGGCACTGAAAACCGTTTAGATTGGTTTGGACCTTGGGGTACCCGTCAATGCAAACCACCAAAATTGTTGGAAACCTGACGGTATCAACCTTGCATCGGCTGGGCTCAACGGTTGTGGAGAAAAAGCAAACGGCTTGCAAAACTGCCCCTCACCAACTGTGGGGATGAAAGCGGGGTCCAAAGTCCCCACAGGCGCGAGAAGAAGCTGGGGCCCTGGTAAGGAACACCGGAGGACCAAATACCACTGTTCTATTTGTTTGATTGGGTAGTCTTTTTGGGGTTGGAGAAGCCTTGCAACAGGCAAAAATCGAGCAAACAATCAAGCTACCAAGCAGGCAAGCAACCAATCAAGTAAGCAAGCTACCAAGCAACCAGACAACCAGACAACCAAACAACCAAGAAACCAAGCAACCAAGCAACCAAGCAAGCAAGCAAGCAAGCAAGCAAACAAGCAAGCAAGCAACTAACCACACAACCAACCAAAACCCCTCCCCCGACCTTCCGCAAGCGCGCCTGGAGCTTCTCTTTTGTTGCTTGGTCTACTCGGTTTTTGTACTCCCGCAACGTCTCCTTGGATCGCTTGAAACAAAATTGCTTTTGTCCTCACCAAAAACGTGAGTTTATATTTTCAGGTGACGGCGCCCTTTGTGAGCTTGCACTTTGGCATGAAAAAACTGGCTTCAGCATGTTCCATTTCAGCCATTAGATGGAGGGGGGTCTGGAGCAAAGGTCGAATCCACCTCAATGTACTTCCTCTGGGGAGAATACACCCCCCACGTACTCGTGAAACACCACAAAAGCATCATTTCTCGAGGAAACTCATTTTTTGGGGGGCCCCCTTTCGGGAACGTCAACCTTACAGAGGAGTAAAACATATAGCCTGAGTGTTCAGTACCAAGTCTCCAACTCCTTCTGCTTTGGCAGCTCCAGTTTGTCTTTCTCTTTGTTCGGCGCCGCCGCGGCCTGCGCCGAAACACAAAACGCGGGGAGCTTTGTGCTACAGGAGATTTGCCCATGTGTGACCATGTGTGCGTGTGTCTGTTTGGTTTCTGTAGCGCTGCTTCTTTCTGGTGGGCTTGAGCAAGACCAGACCAGGGTAGACTCACAAAAGGGGGGGAGGTGTAACAACAGGCATCCGAACACGGCCTGAAAACGCGCTAGGAAGCCACTCAACACGGCCCTCCCATCCAGAAACAAGAATTCCCTGGAAAGACTGCAAACCCCAGACAAACCAACACCCCCAGGCCCCAAGATCACTCACTAAGCTGTTGCTACTCAAGGGTTCCAGAAAACCCCGCGGATCCGGCAGAAAACGCTCCAACAACATATGGACACTCACCCCATCAGTATATAATAAGTGTTGTAAAACGAGGACGCGGTCTGGGAAATTCATTGTCTGTAGGGTATGGGCTCACCTGCCCCAAATAACTGGACAAAAGGGTTGGTCGGCACTTCCGAGTCCCGTGGCATGTCAATTTCTCCGTTCCTCGCAGCCCCGCGCTTAAAATGATCTGGATCAACAAACGACCAACAAAAACGAGTACAACGCAAGCCAGTGAAGTTTGGTTGACTTGAAGCATGCATCTGAGTGGGTCGGCTGGGTGTTACTCAAGGTCCACAGGCAACAGGGGTCCTTCTGACTTCCCTTTGCAGAATTTCGGGGTCCTGGAACATGTCTCAAAAATTGACTCCTTGGAACGTCTCAGAAACAGGACTCCTTTGGAACGGGCAAAACACCAAAAGAAAAACCTCCTGGAGGCTTTCTGCAGGGTTGCTCCAACCATACCAGCACAAGGGTAGAAGCGTTGTTTTCGGAAAGGACTCGAAAGGACCCTTGGTACCAAGATTGGACCCAGCATGTGGCTTGGTCCTGTTGAGGTTCTGAAATTGGTTCTGAGCCAGGAGGCCGACCTGGAGTGGGTCCTCAGGGTGAAAGTAGACGGCACCATCTCCATGTGGGTAAGTGAAGGGTGACTAAACCAACATGGGGGCCTTGTGCCATCCAACTACATCTATAAGGACAGGTGTGAATTTTGCTTTGTTGTTCCTTCGTGGACATCATGTCAGTGGGCATTTGTGTCACCACTTTCTGCCCACCTCTTGAAAGAACCAACGGCCCCGGTCCCCCCGCACCTTGGGCAAGGCTGGCAGGGTGCCAACAGGCTTCGACGCCGCGCGTCTTTCCTGGGCCGCCTGGGGCCGACGCGCTTGCCGGTTTTTTCAGTGGAGCCCTGGTGGGGAGATACGAAATGTTTGAATCATTTTGAATCAGTCACATTCTGGGCGGTCCTCCGCGACCAACATGGAAGTGCAGGAGGCTCCAAGTATGTACTTTGAGCCACTTTGACTCCAAGTACGTGCTTAAAAAGCCCTTGGACCCTTAAGCGGACATGGGTTGCCTGGAAGGCTTCCCTTTCGGAAGCTGACGTGAATTTTCACGAGTGCGATTGAACAGTCCAGTTTTGGGGGAAGGAAAGCGCGCCCGAGGAAGAAGCCATGAGAGGAAGTGCCAAGGCATCCCGGGCACCAGGCGAGAAAACTAAAAAAGAGCATCCGCTGCTTGCAGCTAGTAAATTGAATGATGGTAAGCCCCTGGGCTGTGCAGGTGGCCAGCTTCTCTCACCATAGTCCAAATCACAATTAAAAACCGCCACAGGCGGGAGGCTGAGGAAGGCAAAACAGAGGACCAATCACGTTTAAGAGTTTCATGTGGTTTCCCTTGAGGGACCAGGGTAGGAGGGGACCAACCCTGTGACTTCTCGATAGCTCGGACGTGCTTTCGTCCGGTTTCGTTGCCCGGGTTATATATGTGCGGGCAGTGTTCGGATAGATGTTACGGCGTTCTGGTGACTATGAATGCAACGCAAAACCGGATGTGCATTTGTATCAGGGGCTAGCTCCACTCATACACAGCTTTGGTGCACATGGCCAAAGCAGCGACCTCCCCCCCTCACCCCCACCCTCACAGCTCAACGACCTCAGCTCGGCACCATCCTCTTCCGCTTCTTCTTCCCGGCCGTCTGCGCCTCCTCGCGAGAGGCGGTCGGCTCCGGGAAGATATCCTCAGAGCAAGCCGGCAGGTCGGACACTCGGCGTTCCCTGAACTGCCCTCCCCCCAGAACCGACTAGAAAGCTCCTTTAAGAACAACATGATCTTTTGATTTTTTTGATGGACCCTCAGTGAGGACCGGAAAGTGAGGGCCGGGAATATACTGCTTAGCAAGGCGACAAAGAGATCTGAAAGCGCTGATGTCCGGTAGCCAACGGGACAAACCTTGGACAAATTCTGGTCACAACTAGGTTGGTGGCCGCTTTTCGGGTGGGGGGGAGGGCTTGGGGGGGGGGGTTGGGGGGGTTGGGGGTGTGCTAGGAAATCATTACGGGACTGTTTTGCTTGGCCCAACTCTGGGTCCACCAAAAAATCATTGTTCAGATTCTGCTTCATTTGTTCTTTGACCAGACAGTCAGCTTGCCTCTTCTCGTCTTGCTGGCGTCAGTGTGTGCCCACTTCGAATTCGCGTCAAGATACTTTGCCGACGTTGCCGCCGAACATGCTGCCGCCGAAGATGGGGGGAATGTCGCAGGCATCGCGGTCCCCCTGCCAGGGTTTGTGCGGCCTTTTCCGGGTTCTTGGTTGACGTTGGAAGGGGGGCAAAAAATAAATGTTGGCAGCCAAGTGGGGATTCCCCACGAAACCACAATAAGAAAAAACAACGCAAAATGTTTCCCAACAACAACCATGGGTTGGTCTGCCCCCTGAGCAAAGGGTTTAGCAATTTCCAGGTTCAATGGAAAGGCAAGATTTGCCTACAAAGGTCTGAGGGGCCAGGCGGATGTCAGTTTCCCGAGGGGTCCAAAAAATGTTTCCTCCTTCGTGACTCTCCCGAGCTTGTCTCAAAAAAGGGGGGCCCTGAAATGTTGGGTGGCTCATTCCGGATTCCCGTTGGTTTGGATGCTTCCCTTTGACGCAACCCAACAAGGAATCCCCCCAAAAGGGGGAGACACCCTCAACCACATTTGCCACCGGCAGTCTGCCTTGGGCACGCGGTTCTTCTCCGAGATCTGCTTCCTGTGGGCCATCTGTGCCACGTCCACCGCGCCTGCGCTGGCGGGAGAACCCGCCGGAAGCCGAGAAAACCCAAGCCCGTGGTGGTCAATAGCTGTGGAGAAGTCAAAAGCATTGGGAAGATCCGACTCCCTATTTCCAGCGGATGCTGAGTTGTGTTTTCCTGTCAGGGTGGCGATGCCTAAATGATGGAAGCGAAAGATTGCGGGAAACCCGCAACTACCAGAGTGTGTTCACTTGCAATATGTGTTTTATGCGTGTGTGCATTTTTTATTTTTATGTTGCATGTACAGATGCCCGTTTTACAGGTAGATTTCTGTCTGACATGAAATACCCCCCCCCCCCCCGCCCCACCGAAAACATGGGCTTCAGGTTCTCTTTTGCTTCCTTTCGGTCCGAATCCGACGAAACTTCGACTCCAATCTGGGGCGCTGGCCTTGATAGACGGGATCTTGCGCTTTGAACTTCCTCTTTCCATTGCTCCAAGCCTGGGGACGGCGAGACCGGCGAGGCCGCTCCAAACCATTGGCCCTGCTTCGACCCCCCCAAAGGGCGTTTTGCGTGTTGCTGGCTCATAGGGGAACTAAAGGAGCTCCCGAAAGGGAAAAATGGTTAGGTAACTAAGCCTGGCAAGTTTGCTTGGGTGAAGTATGTGGGTGTGTCTTACAAAGTAAACAACCCCAACATGGCGACAGTTGCCTTAATTCCCTCTTAAAGTCTGCAAAAACAGGTAGCCTCACAAAAAGGCAAGCCCGTGTCAAGTCAGCACACCTCAGGTTACAAAAAAGCTCCACCCCACCCCGGTTTCACTGACACTGGCTAAGACTAAGCCCAAGAATCTCCAGCCCCACTTGCCCAGAACCTGTCAAAGGGGTGACGAATTGACTCCAGAGCTGTCGCTGATGAAACATGGTTGCAAACACAAGACCCTAGGCTTCCAAAGGCCACTAAAAGAATGGTCGACGAAGCATAGGGAAGAGCATCTTCAACTTTTTGTAATAAGTACAAAACCTGAAATAAGAATTGGATCCCGCAAAGGACCTACATGGAATCGCTGAGCCCCCCGAATGAAACAACGCCGAACTGCAACCGCCCCCCACCAAAAACCAGGGATTTTGCCCAATGGGAAGGGGATCACTTCTTCTAATACATGCTGCCTGAGCTGGAAGCTGGGTCTGAAATACGCGTCTGGAAACGCATTAGACCAGCTCCAAGCAAGCTCCTTCCCTTTTGGTGTGTTTTACGAACTTTGTGTTAAAGAGGCATATTCCAGTTGCACACCCAGGGAGAGATATTGTGTGCAAGACAGACTTCTCCGTATGGGTGTTGCTCAAAATAGGATCCCCTTTTTGAATGTGTTTGTTTGTTGTTTCTTTCTTTTTTTGGGGGGGGGTATCTAGAAGAAACGCCCACATCCTTGCCTGGCCTTGTCCTTCTTTTTACCCTTGCTGATCTTCCCGCGGGCCATTGCAAATGTAGGCCAGAGCCGACTCCACGAAGTCGCAAGGCGGGTTAGGGGCCTGAATTAAGCACCGCTGAACCAATGGGGAAGGGAAGGGTGGCTGGCTTGACTACTGAAGGAAAGCGCAGTCATTTGCGAGTCAGTCTGTGAAAACAACCGGCTGGAAACAAAACTCAAGCTTGGAAGCGGGTCAGCAACTGGCCAGCTGGACAGGGCGAACGGGTTGCCCCTCAACAAGTTAATCAACTCACTGGTGGGTTTCGGAATTGGAGGGGGCCCTTGCGGCTTTTTTGTGCATGCATCAAAAAGCCGTCATTCTGCGAAAATTGAAGAAACTTCAAAAACTCGAAAAATCGGATCACTAAATGAAGGACCCTCATGTCCAAACCTGAGAAAAAATGATATGATCCCCAAAATATGTTGGTTTCGCTGGTCTTACCCGGGTGGAACCCCACGCAGATTCTTCCCGCTTGAGCCAAAGGCTTTGACCGCCGCGCTGGGCTCGGGGACAGTCAAACCACTTGGGATGGTGGTCCGGCCAATGAGTTCAACCCTACAGTCCAGAGCATAGGTGTCCTTCTGGGAAAATGGCTGGCCCTGGTAGATTATGAAGCAACCAGGCCAACCAGGAACCGCCATCTAATTTCCACCAAAACAGCCAATAAGGCCACCTATGATCCAGAGGTAATGAAGCCATGTGTGCGAGGTGACGCTGACATAGCTGCCTGGATCCAAGCTGGAATGCAATAAGCAGCCCTGGAAGGCAATTTTCTCCAAGATGGGTTCCAGGGCATAAAATGCCTTCCAGGGGGTTAATGGACATACCGTCACTATATATATATCCATACATATGCACATGTGTGTGTGTGTGTTTGGTGTGTGTGGTGTGTGTGTGTGTGTGTGTGGTGTGTGTGTGTGGTGTGTGTGTGTGTGTGGTGTGTGTGTGTGGTGTGTGTGTGTGTGTGGTGTGTGTGTGTGTGGTGTGTGTGTGTGTGGTGTGTGTGTGTGTGGTGTGTGTGTGTGTGGTGTGTGTGTGTGTGTGGTGTGTGTGTGTGTGGTGTGTGTGTGGGTGGTGTGTGTGTGTGGTGTGTGTGTGTGTGTGTGGTGTGTGTGTGTGTGTGTGGTGTGTGTGTGTGTGTGGTGTGTGTGGTGTGTGTATGTGTGTGGTGTGTGTGGTGTGTGTGTGTGGTGTGTGTGTGTGTGGTGTGTGTGTGTGTGTGGTGTGTGTGTGTGTATGTGGTGTGTGTGTGTGTGGTGTGTGTGTGTGTGGTGTGTGTGGTGTGTGTGTGTGTGGTGTGTGTGGTGTGTGTGTGTGCGCGCCTTCTTTTGGTGGTAGTGGACACCACCCGAGACTGTTGTTTTGCATGGTTTCCGACTGCCCACCCGACAAGCTACACATGGATAGATGGCAAATCAACATAATTCACAAACAAAAGGAAAAAGGAATCCTCAGCAACTGCAGTGCCAACAGACTTCGTAAGTAAGCTCGCTTCCCCTCAGAGCGAGCTTATGAGAATCCGTACATTGACTTGGCCAAGTTCGTCACGCCAGCGCTGCAGTCCGAAGCGCCGCTTAGTTTTACTCACCGATTGCTGCCCTCACTTCGTTCCAGAAGCCTCACTTGCACTTCGAGCGATGGTTCAAGCGCCCCTGGAGTAGGTACTCCGAACGCGCACCCTCTGCAACGTGGCAATGCAATTAGGTAACTCAAAGATGCATAAAGTGTATAGAGGGGATGCCTACTGGCTCGTCGTTGAGGGATGGTCAGAACACAACTTTTGGGCAGGCGGGGTTGCTGAGTGTGCCTGGGAATGGCCGCCTATCATCTCTCATAGTTGGAGTCGGGACCTATTCTCATGTCTACGTAGGGATGTCTACGTAGGGACGCAGATGTCCACATACATATAGGTATAGATATATATATATATATATACACATATATATATATATATCTATATATATATATATACATGTGCAAATTCAAATGTGTCTATCACGCATGCACGCTATGTGTCTACAGTACGCTACGTGTCTACAGTACGCCTGGGCCTGGCTGTGTATTTATTCAAGGCTTTGCCTCATGCCAACTAGATGCCACATGCATCCTAGTTGTGCTCATGTCAGGGTATGTCTCTTCCAAGTGTTCCACAAAGTTTCACCAGAAACCATTGCAGCTTACAGGATTTCCTTCGTTCCCTACAGTTCCCTTCCCTACCCGTGATAGGGAGGCAAGCACGGGCACCTCAAAGATTCAACAATGGTCCCCCGAGACTTTGGAGTTTCGGCAGCTGCTTCCGCTTTAGGATTCAATGCGAGCTGGACACGCCTTTGTCTTATTCCTTTGAGCTGGAAGCGATTGCATCCTTTCCATCGCAGACCCTATCTCCGACAGTCGTCCCTAACTTCCTTTACCATTTCCGGTCCCTTAAGATCACCAAGAATGACAACATGTGTGCATTCCCAAAAACATGCGAACGGTAGGTGTTGTTCGAGGTAAGCCAGGAAAACCTACGATTTGCCCCAGCAGAACATGTCCCTTTTGGGTTCTGGCACCTAGCCCACGGCTCGTCATATGGGTGTGTCTAAACGTTTGGAACCCTCTAGTTGGTTTCCTCTTGGAGTCTGTCCCTCTGAGGACTGTCCCGGGATGATAGGTCAAAAATAACTTTCGGCACGGCCACGTCGAGGGAGGGGTTCCAAGAGGTATCATCTGGATTCCTTTTAGAACCGCCAGGCCGGTACGCGTGACCTACCCCTCATAGACATTGATGCAGGGTTCTATCCCACAGGGAGACTTAAACCCAGGGCGTGCGCTTTTGGGAAATCAAGCACCCCAGTTGTTTAAGCCTATCTTGGGCAAGGAACAAATTCACTGGACCCCTTCATCTGCTCGGCTTACCTAAGGGTTTGGTCAATCAAAGTGGGACATGCCGAGGGTCTTCCCTCCATGGCTTTCAAGGGAGCCTGGCCCCCCGGTTCCTTCCGTCGGCTTCCGTGGGTCCTTTTCCCACCTTCGGGAGCCTGGGAGCCCTGCAAAAGGAACAGCCACACAGAGGATTATTCATCCAATAGTCCAAGGTAGTTTGAAATTGACACCCCTGCGACTGGCCTCAAGTTGTACTGGCGCTGGTGGATGGAATTGTTGGTGGACGTGAACCCCCACCTAAAAGTATTGCTGGTGAGCAGTAGGGAATGTGGCCTGCTTGAAGTGTTCTTCAAGCGTTCTGCGTGTTGCCTGACACGGGCCATGTTGGGGTCGCATGTGGCCAGGGCTGTCAAATTTCATTGCGGACAGGTGCAGCATGACCCAGCGTTTGGGAATGAACCTAGGGATTCCCTTAAAACGTTGTTCTCGAGGTCATTCCAGCTCATTCCCTGAGCAGCAAAAATTGCCACCAAGTCCGCTATGCCGAGGCGCCATCTTTGTCCCAAGACCGCAGGCGCTGCATAAACCCCACGTTGGGCTCTGCCAGGGCGCGCCGCGTCTGTACGTAGCGCAAGGCCTCTGGTGACTCCTTGACTCGAAGACTCGATTTCGATCTGGCGATCTGGCGGCTGCGATCTGGGCCTCCATTTGCTCAAGCCCCCTGGAAACAAAAAACATGTCCGGTAGTGATAGGTCCCTTTAACACCACAAGGGGAAACTAATAAACATTCTCAAGCAAATGGATGTGGTTCCTCATCTATTTCCCACTTAAACCTCACCCCGCAGGAGACTCACTTGAAATCCACCAAACGCGTGATGTTCCAACCGCTGAAGTGTCGAAGAAATATAGGTGTGGACACTGGCCATTGGTTACCTGTGTCAAAGTTACCCACTAAGTGTCGGGGGAACTCTAACTCATTTTCTGGCTCTGATGGGTTTCAGCCTCGGGCCAAGAGGAAAGTTCTAAACATTTAGATATCACGTTCACGGCATGTCTATGTTGTTTGTAGCTATTGTGTTATGCTTTTCTTTGATGACAGACATCATATACAAATGTATATACATATACATTAAAAGGAAAACATATATGTATATTTGTAGATATGCCGCCGAAAATGTCCGCGATGTTTTGGAACAAACAGGTTCTAAAAAAGCTCACTTTCTGAGTCAACAAAAAACCCTGGGGGACGGAGGAAATTCGTGTTTGAAAAAAACAGCTTCCTGTTGGGTACCTACCCCCTTCAACCTCCTCCGACCCTAAACGAATACCCGGGGGAGGTACACCCAAAATAGCACATTTTGTTTACCCCACTTAGTGTCTCCGCCTGGAAATGTGTTTGGCTTTTCTTGGCGGTGAACGAAAAAAAGTACCTGCGGAGCATTGTACCGTTTCAGTTTCGGGAAGGCTTTCTTCGGCGGGGGCGGCAACGAGGCCGGGAAATTTTCCGGCGGGACCCATCCATGGAAAGTGGGGTCGCGCACTCGGATAAAAAATCATTCACCAATCAACCGCGTCTCCCGAGGAAGCCTTAGGAAGGACAATTTGTGTTCAAAGACCGCTGAACCTACGGCTGACAGCACCCTCTTCAACCTCCTCCAGCCCTACCTTTCTTGTTGTTGCCGGTGAACGACAAACAAGCTCCCGCGGTATGAATTAGATATTGGTACATATATGCATGCAATCTACATGTGTCACTGGATGGATGCAGCGTCCCATCGTCACTAGGCCATGGAAAGCGATGGGCAAAGGTCAGCTTGGGTAAAAGGCAACCCTGCCACAGACCAATACTTCATCTTTCAAAGTGGGTCATCGGAACGGCCGTCAGGCAACCAAATCACCATGCCTGCCTCCAAGGGAAAAAATGAGGTGTTTTGCCCTGAAACATGACAATTGCCCAACGCCCCCACGAACCCGCATGGGAGGAGACCAAAGCCCCTTCCATTCCTGAAGCGGGACACCAATACGACAAGGAAAGCCATGAAGATCTACTATAAGGATTCTGGATTGATTTTGGACAGGTTGCAACCTACTTGCGCTTTCCAATGAAGTCCGAAATGGATCCAAGGGCGAAAATTGAGCGTGTTTGTCTGAAGGTCCATGGATGCCAAGAGGCGCCCAAGTATTCAGAACCAAGGTCATGGCCAACGTGACTACATGTTTGGGGACTTCTTGGGGTGCATGTGTGTTTCTTTTTTTTTGGGGGGGGGAGCAAACCACCAGGGAGATGGGAGTCCGTTGGATTCGCTAAATTGATGGATCCAAAGGTCCATGTTCATCACGACGCAGAGATACGCCACCACCAACGTGGAGGACCGGGATTTCCCTTGGGCGCAGTGCACCAGCACGCTGGCGTTGGCTAAGGTCGCATGGACCACCTCAGCTGCTGCTTGCTAGTTGGCTATGGGTCAAGACCCCGTACCCCCAGTGAACATCCCACTCAAATAGGTTCTAAAATGGGTGGTGCACCTACCCCAAATTAGTGTTGACAGTTGAGCTTCTCCGAATGGCACGGTTCTATCGCCCTTGTTGCGACTCCAAAACTTGAAGTACGGGATCCCTAGATTAACTCAAATCATGTGAAGCTGGAAAACTGGACTTGGAGCCCTAAGAGGAGGCACATCAGAGACATTGCTCAGCCTCCAAAATCCCCAAAGAAGCTACATCACGGGTTTTACCCCGTTTTACGTACCCGGATCAGCGGAATGGCTCGCCATGAAATGAGTAAATCAGGTCCTGATCCGGTTGGGAGAAAAAGCCTAGCAGTTTCTGGGTTGGTCCAGGTGATATTCCTTGTTTGCCAGCCCGTCTTGCGGATGGACAGAACCCAGTACCAATTGAAAGCTGGCTTATCGCAGACTTTTCCAGGGCTTCATCCATCCCAACTGGTGCTTGTGGATTTCGCATCCATCCACAGGTGTTCCAAAATAAAAGTCCATGTTGACTCGGTTGCTGTCTGCTCTCCTGCTAAAGGTTTAACTTTTAGTGGTTTAATTCGGAAAACCCACTAGTTGGCAAAAAGTTAACGTCCTATCATCCCTTGGCAAAGTGCGCCAAAGTTGATCCCTGCCCTTCCTTCCATGCGCCAACACCTCTCTCTCTCCACGTGTCGCGGGTGCCTGGAGGGCTGTCTTCAAGGCCTCCCGGTCGATCTGGAAGGCGGCGTCGTCCAACCAGTTCAGCTCCAAGAGCTCCAAGCCCCTCTCGCGGCTTCTCGCCTCGCCAGTCACTTAGGGGGGGAAAAGCCAGGCTTGTTTTGCAGGGCGTCTCATTTTTGGGGAACCCCAAAAATGGAGATGTTCCTTCTTGGTTTTCCTTTTAAACCCACCCAAAAAGAGATAAAAGGGGTATCACCGAACAAAAACAAACCCTGTTGGTTGAAATTAGATTTGATGAAACCAACACACTGCAGAAGTAAAAGCACACCCCTCCCGTGGCACGGAACCCCCAAGAATGTGCTGGTTTTCCCCCCGTTTTCCGTTAAACCCAGGCAACACCTCAAACCCACAGACTGTGGATGAACAAATTTCGCACCACCTAAGAAAAACCTTCTGATTCACTTCCCCAACGTATATACCGTAACACACCTTCTGGTTTTAACCATGGTTTCTTGGGCGGTGCGATTTCTGGAAATGTTGCAACCATCCGCAGGTTTCCGGCTTCCTTGAAACCACCCCAAAAAAGCGGCATCACCCGAAAACAGGCAAACCTCTATGGAGGGTGTGAAAAGGCGCAACAAGAAAAGGAACATGCTTAGACAAAACCCTATTTGCTGAGAAACAATATAAACCCACCCAAAAACGGGGCATCACCAAACAAACGGGATGGTTTCCTTTCAACCACCGAAGCAGGGGTACCACAAAAAGGCAAACCTGCCAATTAAATCAAAAAGAACGGCATGGCTTCCTGAGAAAAAAAAAGGAAAGCATCACCCAAACACAGCGGCACCTAAAACAGGCAAACCTGCAATGGGTTTCCGTCTCTCAGGTCCTCTCAGATCCAGCCGGCCTGCCTGTGCCCTGGCCCACTGGGGCCCGAAGGTCTCCAGGCCCTTGGCCTCGGACGTCTTGCTGTGGAGCTGCTTGCACAGATCTGGTTATATTCGTTGATTGAGTTGCTCGCTTTGTTGATTTATGTGTTTATGGTTGTCCTTATCCGTGTTTTAGCCATGTACATGTGAGAACGTGAATGTACTGATGTATAATCGATTCCCCTGATAACCAAGGTCCCCCTAACAAGAGTACACAGTTTTCTTAAAAAAACAAATCCGGGTAGTCAATGATGAATTCAGAATCATCAGTCCTCTCTAAGCCAATGCTACATCAGCGATTCCACCTGTTGACCAAAATTGTGGCTTATTACGGGGCCCCCCCAGCGATTCCGAACCCCCGAAAGGGGCCAAAGACGGAATTGGGGACTACCAAATCCAATCCCAATCGTTGCTTGTTCTTGTTTTGTTTTTGTGTTTGTTTGTGTGTTTGTTTGTTTTTTGGGGGGGTATGATTTATGCGGGGGGATGGATCACATATAAAAAAGTATGCCAACATCTACCCCAGAAATGGGCTTGGCCATCGGACATCGGATGTTCGCGTTCTGAACAGCCAAGGTGTGCGTAGAGGTCCCTGCAAAAGGGGGTGACTTGAAACACGCAGATGCCTCTGGGCCTCTGAAAGTCGCGTGCGCCGATCTTGGCCGAAAAAAACAAGGTTGGGCAAAATGTATTTGAAAGGCTCTAGAGGCCCATGACAAATCCAAAGGCGGCTTTAGACAGTGCTTTCAACAAACCAGGAACCTGCAAAACAAGACGTAAGCTCTATGTATGATATGGATTAGGCATCCCGTGGTAGGGACCCTTCACGACAAGTCAGCTCGTTTTACCTGATTTTACCCCGTGCAGTGAGCTCGCATTTGTTTTTTGCAGCGGGCTGATGTTCCAGAAGCCCCCTTCGAAAGGCTGCACAAAACAGGCACCAGGGTCAGTGAAAAGTAGCGCAAATTGGCTCGATGATACATGTTAGTGTTTCTGCTCGCTTCACGCTAGACACAGTTTGCTTTGTTGCTGCTGTTGATCATGCATTTAATAAAGGAACCTGCAGAAGCTTGGATTTGATCATGACATGTCAGCATGAACATGTTGACATCCGGTTACCCTTTTGGCTAAAGGCCTTGAGCCACCGGCAACACGCGGTGAAAACAATAGCAGCTGCTGGCGCCATTGGGTCGCCACTTTGATCGTGAACACTTGCTTCAGAGTGAAGCACACCCTTTGACAAGAGCCCCATCATCTACAAGAACACAGCACTGCGCACTCCCTGCTAGCTACCGCATTGGTAGCGGAGCGGGTTGAGCTCCAGTGTCTTCATCGCGGACGCTCTGCTGAAGATCACGGGCAGGCACACGTGTCTTGGTTTGCTTAGCAACCTGGCTGGGTGCTGCCTTGCGGAACACTTCGGTGAGGACGAGGCCGAGCCCAATTCTCCAAGGAAGGGCAACTACTGCGCCTTCCGGAACCTTTTCTCAGTTGCTGTGGACGTCCACTATTTCCTGGAGTAGTAGGACACAGGCAACTTCCTTCTTACATTTCTCCATTTTGGTTTTGTGGTACAGCAACCTTCTTGCTGCATAGGCCACACTTTGCCTTCAACATGATCGGCACGAACACTGATGGAAAGATAAGCTTCTCGACCGGCGAGACAGTTCCTTCGTGGGATGGAGCACCTCGTGGTTGGAGGCGCTATGTCAAGGAAGTGCAGTGGTATGTGCTGGGCACCAAGCCCAACCTTCGGCGCTATCTGGCATCACGGCTGATAACAAAGTTGTCAGGCAGTGCTAGGCTCCTGGCCATGACCTGGAAACTGGCAGATTTCAATCAACCCAATGGAGTTCGAACCCTCCTCCAAAGCTTTCGCAGTCACCCTTGGTCCGTAAGAGCCTTCCTAACGCTGCATCCATCATGGGACAATACTTCGCCTTCAAGCGCCATCGAGGTGAACAAATCTCCAGCTTCCTCATCCGCGAGGCCTTGCACTATGAAGAGTTCCGTGAGTGCTTGATCCACCTCAAGGAAGAACAGCTGGGACGAGGACCTGAACGTAACGGCTTTGGAATTCCGGAAGATGAAGACGAGGAGGAATCGGCCAGTCAAGATCAACCTTCCGAAGAAGGGGGCACGAGTCCTCTTCGTACCTCTCAAGCTCAAGCGAAGGCCAAAGCCAGACCTGAAGGCTATTCTCGGCTACCTCAACGTGATCACGACGACGACGAGACGATACTCTCCATGTCCGATAGCTTCATCCTGGAGCAGCTCCGAGGCTGGAGACTTCTCACATCAGCGAGTCTCTCCTCGGAAGAATGGCGTGACGTATTGGGAACAACGCAAGGCAAACTGGATTACCAGTCCATCAGCGACGCCTTGCAGGTTCTCTACGATGAGCAAATGGTTCCTGCAGCCAGACATTTCAGTACATCTCATCCTTCGGCCAATCTCAACTTTCATGAGCAAGAGTGGGAAGATGCCGATTGGTCTTGGGCATCAACTTCGGAAGATTGGCACGAAGATGAGAACTGGAACCACGCTTTGGAAGATGATAGTTGGTGGTGGAATCAATTTGAGGGAGATCAAGATCAAGGTGATCATGAACTACCTCATGATGCAGACACCTCCACTCCGGTTTCAGAATCTGCTGCAGAACACCTTTTCCAGGAACAACGTACATGGAATCAAGCTCACGGGGCATCGGCTGCTATGAAGAAGGACCGCGGCTTCGGTAAGGCTTCCTGCTTCATATGCGGCAACAGCAATCACCTGGCTAAGGACTGTCCTGATCGCAATGCTCCTGGAAAAGGCAAAGGCTATGGATCTCCCAAGGGATTCGGTTTCAGCTATGGCAAAGGGCGCGGTAAGGGATTGCACTACTACGACCTGGACGACCCTTACCTCAACTTCATGAAGGGCAAGCACAAGTCCTCTTCCAAGGGTAAGGGCAAGTCTTTCGACAAGAACGGCAAAGACAAGAATCGTTCCGTCAACGCCTACATGCACAACTATTACGGGTTGCAAATGGACATCAACTCTCAACAAGCGTTGACACCTCCTCATGGACAACCAGCGCAACTTCTCGGTCCTGAGAGTGGAATGGTTGACTCTGGTGCCACATGTTCAGCCGGCCCAGAGACTAGTGTGCAACGCCTGATCACATCGATCATGGACAAGGATTCCGGCGCACAGATCAAGGTCCAGACAAAAGATCCTCCTCGTTTTCGGTATGGTTCGGGCAAATGGGGACAAGCTCTATACAAGGTCACCATCTCTTCAAGTGTGAGTGGAAGGCCCCGAAGTTTTTCATGCTTTGCCTTACCAGACCCCGAGGAAATCCATGAGAAATGGTTCACAAACCGGATGCTCGTGCCTGTCTTGGTCGGTATGGATTGGTTGGGCGCCAATGGAGTTGGAGCTATCATTGATTACAACGACGGCCACTGTTGTTTGTGCAACTACGACTCCTCCGTCATACGCCTTCCAACTAACCACAAGGGGCACTATTTTCTGGATGTGGCTTATTTTCTCACTCAGGGAAAGACCAATCAAGGGCAATCAGTGCATGTGAATCTGGAGATCGATGATGTCAGTGAACCCCTGCTGGTAGAAGGACAGACGATTGAACTTCTAACTGTACATGGCCCCTGGCATGGATCCCCTCGGGATCTCCAACTGTTCCACCTGCCTTCTTCTGGACCCAGTCAGTTGTTTCATGATTTCTGTGAACGCCGTAGCTCACTACAGCTACAAATGGGGACATGCCCGTCCCGACGCAATTCGACATCCGCTTCCTCTTCAGAGCTCAGCCATGTCCCACAAGGACAAGAAGTCCGAGACCAAGCACGAAGTCAAGAAGGACCTGAGTCGTCAAGTGGAAGCAGATCCGCGGGACCCCAGAAGCAGTCCCGAGATGTGGCCGTGTTTCAGCGAGCATCAGCCCTGCAAGGAGATGAGCAATCGTTGGGGAGTATGGCAAAACTGCGGTCGGTGCGGTTTGCGTCTGATCTATGTCCCGAAGGAAGGATCCCCAGCGAACTCCGTGCAGTGCATCAACCCCGGCAACATGCTGAAGGCCCTCAAGCAACTTCAAGAGACCTTGCCCATGAACATGGAGCCCAACGAGGAGTTGGTTCGCGCCATGATGGAGAAGGTCATTGCCGAGGAGCGCATGAGCGTCTTGCTGAAGGAATACGAGAAGGCCTGGGAGAAGAACAAGGAGAAGATCCAATTCGCGAAGGCCAAGGTCAGCGCCTACCCCAACGTCAAGGAGAAGGAAAAGGACCCTCCAAGGACTTCCTCCACTTCTGCCAGTCCAAGCTCTCCAAGCAGTTGGACACAAGTTCAGGACTCCAAGGAGGGCACTTTGGAACACGCTCTCAGCATGCTGACCGAGGACGAGAAACTCCAGATCCTGAATCTCGCGCAGAAACGCAACTTGAGCAAGCCACAGCCAATCCCGGTGAGCGACGAGGAGCTGGAACCCGACTACAATGCTCAGTAGATGAAGATTACAAGAAGAAGCTTCCTCTACGTGTCGGTCATCATATGATGAACTTGCTCCTCATGCTCAACAACCAGCTCAACCAGGACCTCGCCTCCGTCGTCTACGGCAAGAACCCAGTCGTGTGGGAGATGTTCTGTAGTCCTGAAAGTCAGCTGACGGAACAAGTTAATCGCGAAGGGCTACAAGGTCATCGCATCAACCTGGCCAACGGCTTCGACCTCTACAAGGAGAAGACCTACACAGATCTCCAACGTCTATGGCAAGCACAACTACCCAAGAAGTGCTGGGTTAGCACTCCATGCACTCACTACTGTGATTGGTCCGAGCTCAATTACAAGGACCGTTGGGAGGAACTTCTTCGCAAACGAAGGAGAGAAAAGGCTATGCATCAGAAGCTCATGAGTTTCCTCCTGACGAACCTGCAAAAGCACCCGGAGACCGAGCTCTATTGGGAGTGGCCACGTCGATGCCGAGCCTGGAAGGAGCCCCATATGCTCGCCTTCCAAGAACACCTTCGTGAACTCCTTGGACGAGAAGTCTACTTCTGCAAGCTGGATGGCTGTAGGTATGGTCTCAAATCCTCGCAAGGACATCATCTGCAGAAGAGCTGGCTCATCCTCACGACTGACCAGATCTACTACAACCAATTCAGACTTCAGGTATGCCTCAAGAACCACGAGCACGATCACGTTCAGGGAATCGAAACCAGCAAGAGTGCCTACTACCCTGTCGCCATGTGCAAGGCAATCGCTCGATCGTGGCGGAAGCAGTTGATTCCCGAACGTTGGTTGAACTACCTCTGGACGGCTCCCATCATCAAGGACACCTTCAAGGAGATCTATGTCGGTGATGCCGATGCACCCATTCTTGAAGGTGACGAACTAGAAGTACCTGAAGACGGCGATCCTGGAGAACCTCAAGCAGAAGGATCCGTACCTCCTGGGCATCCTTCTGATGAAGATCGAGAACGATGGAAAGTTCAACTTGTGCGTTTCCATCGAGCTGCAGGGCATCCTACGTCAAGGAATATGGCAAGAATGCTTGCAGATGCACAACTTCCTCGCTGGAAAATCCAGGAATGTCTCTCCTACAAATGTCCTGTATGTGAAGAAGTCAAACCTGGTGGCATCAGCTCCAAGCAGATCAGCCCTGCAAGCGTTCATGAACTACCAGAACCATGGGAGCACCTGGGTATCGACGTTGCTGAGTGGGAAGTTCCCGGCGTCAACCTCAAGATCAAGTTCGTGCTTCTGATGGACATGGCCACCCGCTACAAAGTCACGGAAGTCCTCTTCGAGACGAAGCACGGCGAAATCAAGGTTGAGAATGCTGACGACATGGTCAAGGTTGTCACTCTTCGGTGGCTACTCGACAAACCACGTCCGAAGTGGGTCATCCCGGACAACGCCAAGTCCCTCACGGCCAAGCGCTTCGAGGAGTACATGGGCGACCTGGGCATTGCCGTTGGTTTTCCTCCTGCCCATGAATCCTGGGCACATGGACTTGTCGAACGCGGAATCCAACAAGTCAAGGAAACTGCAAATGCCATCCATATTTCCATGCCTGATCAACCACCAGCGCTCACTTTAGCTTTGGCTACCGCAGCAGTGAACTCCACCGAGTATGTCAAGGGCTTCAGTAGTCTCCAATGGACTTTTGGACGCCAAGCAGAGATCACTGATGAGGAACTTCGTCAACAACTTGCGCTACCCGTTGATCGTCAACAGGACACCTTCCTCAAGCTGATGAATCAGAGACAGCTAGCGGAAGAATGCGCTCGCAAGGCTCGTGCTCAGACTGTCTTGAGCAAGCTTCGCAACACGAGCGTCAGACAACCCCTACGGACATATGGTCCCGCCGAGTTGGTGATGGTCTGGCGGAAGTTCCTGCCCCTGGAGTTCCACACGGGCAAGCGTGGTGGTGTGAAAAGGACAGTCAAGGCACGGTGGATCGGACCCGGTAGGGTCGTGCTGCATGAACTTGTTCCTGGTCATCGTGACGAAGATCGCAAGAGCATAGTCTGGGTCACGGTGGGATCTCAACTCTTTCGATGCAGTGTCCACTCTGTGAGGCCTCTGTCCGAGCGAGAACATGCCGTCCATGAAGCCACCAATCAGGAACAAGTCCTATGGCGACAACTTTCTGACATGCTGCCAAGGCGAGAGTTTGTCGACATCGAACACGAAGAACCTCAAGAGTCAGAACATGAGGAACCTCATCTACCTGAACAACCACCTCGTTTCTCAGCAGTACGTCGACCAATAGTTCGATTCAAGGAGAAGAGTCCTGTCGATGAGAAGGGACGACCTACAGCTTCTGTAAACGACTACGACAAGCCCTCTTCGTCCTCAAATGAACGATCATCAGCTTCTGCACCGGGCATGAACTTTGAACTACCTTCTGGTGAACCTGTCGATGAACTGGGCAATGATGTCTCTACACCTATCAGGTTGCCATCACGGAGGTCATCGATAACTTCCACAACCCCCTTGAATGACAATGACGAGAACGACAATGTCGAGCCCGACACCAAGCGGGCACGCTACGACAACGATGATGACGATCTCGACGATTACCTCGAGATGAAGCATCAGCAGATCATGGAAGAAGTCGACGCTGGCTACTTCATGAACATCGAGATCATCTTGGACAGCAATCGTCAGAGGAAGAAGTTTCTCGAATCACCTCACCTCTACCTGGCCAAGAAGATGAGTGGTGCTGAAGTTCAATTTCGCAAGCTCAGTAATGAGGACCGCAAGCTCTTCAAGAACGCCAAGAACTCCGAGGTTTCAAGCTTCCTTCGTACGGAAGCAGTTCGCAGATGTCTCAGTTGGGAAGAGGAACAAGAAGCCCGTCGTTCTGGACGCGTCCTCAAATCTCGTTGGGTACTGGTGTGGAAAGGAGTTCCTGAAGAATCTCGCGAAGAAGCCATCAAGGACCACCACAGCAACTCCAACACCACCTACAACAAGAGCGGCACCAAGAAAGCCAAGGCCCGTATCGTGGTGCTGGGATATCAACACCCCGATTTGCTGTCTCCATCATTATCTACCACGGCTCCAGTGCAATGCCAACTGACCCGCAACCTCTCCTTTTGTGTCGCAGCTCAACGAGGTTGGCAGTTGGAATCTTTGGACATGTCCACGGCCTTTTTACAAACGGGCAAAACTGAAGAGTCTCGACGCATATGGATGCATGGCGTTGAGGAGCTCAACGAAGCCCTCGGCGCATCTCCCCAAGAAGTCCTTCGCATTCTGAAAAATGTCTACGGCAATGCGACTGCCCCTAGAGGTCTTTGGGAAGATGTGGACAAGACCTTGAAGGCTCTTGGTGCTCAACGACTCATCGGTGACGCCTCCTTCTGGATCTTCACAACTCCGAACCCCAAGCCGCGCAATGAATGCGATGTGGAGATTCTGCTGGGATACATAGGCGGCCACGTTGATGACTTTCAACGATCAGGTGATCTATCTGATCCTCGCTGGCTGAAGATCCGTGGTGAGATCGACCGAGCCTACAAGTGGGGAAGTACGAAAGTCAATCGGTTTCGCTACACTGGCCTGGACATCACCGTCAAGGACGTTGGCAATGAACACTTCATTGAGGTGGACCAGAACTACTACGCCGAAGGCATCCCGGATCTCAGTATCGATCCTCATCGCCTACAGAAAGCGGACACCACTCCTTTGACTCCTGATGAGTTCAGTGCTTGTCGAGCTGGACTTGGTGCTCTCCAGTGGGTCGCAACGCAAACACAACTTCAAGCCTGCGCACGCACAAACCTTTTGCTCTCCCAGCTCAACGACAAGAGCGACTTGTCCACTGCAAAAGAAATCCAGGACCTCATCAAGGAAGTCCGTGCCAACCCGGTCATCCTCAAGTTTTGGCAGTTGCCACATGTTCGACATTGGCAAGATTGCACGATTATCACTTTGGCCGATCAGGCTCACGCGAATCGACCCGGCGGTGATTCCACTGGCGGTCTTCTTACACTGGTTGGCGGCGATGAGCATTTACGAGGTGAAGCCGGACGTCTCTCAGTAGTCAGCTGGAAGACGTGGCGTTTGAGACGCAAAGCCATCTCTACAAATGATGGCGAAGTTCAAAGTATGGTGGAAGGCGAAAGCGCCAACTACAGAGCTCGCTACATGTGGGCTCAGATCAATGGTTGCCCCATAGGCAAAGAGCTCCTGGACAGTGCCAACAACATCATGAAGTATGTGCATGGCTTGATCGGCACAGACTCCAAGGGCGGATTTCACGCGATCACCAAGTCAGAAGGTCCTTTGCTTGGACTCTCAAACTTTAGGTCAGCTCTCCAAGCCATTCAGCTTCGTGAACAGCTGAAGGACAGTGGTGCCAAACTCATTTGGCTCAGCGGCGATTGGAACCTTTCCGACGCTTTGACGAAGAAGCCGAGCTGTGCAAGACAGAGCATGTTGCAGTTCCTGAGGAACTTCATCTGGAAGTTGCACTACGATCCTGGTTTCGTCACTTCAGAGCGCAAGGGCAAGAAGGCTGGACAAGGAGCTCTCCGACAAATGAGAGAGCTACAAGTATTTCAGTACAGTAGCCTGCCCTTTAGCCAACCATAATTTTGGGTTGGTGCAGAAGCTTGGATTTGATCATGACATGTCAGCATGAACATGTTGACATCCGGTTACCCTTTTGGCTAAAGGCCTTGAGCCACCGGCAACACGCGGTGAAAACAATAGCAGCTGCTGGCGCCATTGGGTCGCCACTTTGATCGTGAACACTTGCTTCAGAGTGAAGCACACCCTTTGACAAGAGCCCCATCATCTACAAGAACACAGCACTGCGCACTCCCTGCTAGCTACCGCAGAACCTCTTGGTTCAAGGCCTTTTGGGGTGTTTACAGTGGCCGCTACGTACTCCACATAAAAGAGCTACTAGGCGGGTCAAACGTGTGGCTCCTTTTTGGACCTGGCTTCAGGATTTTCTTTCAGGGACCTTCAGAGCGCCAATAAGTGCCAACCCTTTCAAGTGAAAGTTTGCCTCAACGTCCTCAAGAATGCGGACAAAGCTTTTTGAAGCTTCGCGTCCCTCTACCACTTGGCCTCGGGCTTTTCCTCGGGAAGTTTGCTTGGTTGACGTTGGAAGGGGAGCAACAGTTCAAATCTTAGCAGTTCAGTGGTTGGATTTCAACCACAAAACCACAATAAGCAAAACCGTAAAATGTTTCCCAACAACAACCATGAAAGGGTAGTTACGCTCAGACATGGCACACTCAATCAGAAATAAAAACCAGGGCTTCAGGTCCAGAAACCAACCTGGTTGGTGAAACATGGGCCGAAACGGAGAAAACTAAAATAAGAACCCCACACAAAAAAAAAGTTTTCCCAAAAAAAATACCCCCCAAAAAAAGAAAAAAGAAAAAAAGGCAAAAAAAACGCCGGCGGCTTCCCATGATCCTTGCGCGAGGGGCGGTGTTCACCACGAGCCGCACCCCCGAGGCCAGAAACTCGCCTCACGGGAATGCAGGCAGCGTTCTTTCTGAGAAAAACCACCCAAAACCCTGAAAAAAACATAAGGTGTTTGAAAGAAAAGAACGATGGTTGAAAAGAATGGACAAGGAATCAACCCCTAGAGCTATTGGGGGAGTCTATACGCAAAACACACCCACCCACCCGCCAAAGCCACCCAAACACCACCAAACCCCCCACCCGCACGGGGAAAAAAACAAAACGGCTGGGAAAGCACTTTGGTTTGCTTGCTTGCTTGCTTCTTTCAGGGCAAGGCTAGAATTGCCCCGCAACAACATAGGGATACGTTCATTGGCTGGTTGAGTTTGAAGGAACTCCCCTGACAACAACACGAGAGCTAAACAACTGATGGAATCCCCCGGGGGACCCAGTGACCACTTTGTTGGGTTGCAGTTTACCCAAGTCTGAAGTGACGGTTTCCCATGGTTAATTTACTGGTTATACTTGCTGGTTCTTAAGAAATGAGGAAATGATCCCCAAAAACCATTCCTTCTTCCTGAGGAGATTCCCTTCCGGTTTCCCAAACTCCGGATTCCCTGGGCACCTGCGATTTGGGGTACACTCTCCCGTGGTTCCCAACTGGAAGGGGCAATTTGTACCAAAGACTACGCCTTACGGCCAGCTTGGTGACTACCATTTCTCTAAAAGTAACTTCCTCTTCCATTCTAAACCCAGGGATCCTTCTTTCTAGAAAACCTCTGGAAACCGAGGGAAAACGGATCCGGTTTCTGGAAAGAACGATGGTTGAAAAGAATGGACAAGGAATCAACCCCTAGAGCTATTGGGGGAGTCTATACACAAAACACACCCACCCACCCGCCAAAGCCACCCAAACACCACCAAACCCCCCACCCGCACGGGGAAAAAAACAAAACGGCTGGGAAAGCACTTTGGTTTGCTTGCTTGCTTGCTTCTTTCAGGGCAAGGCTAGAATTGCCCCGCAACAACATAGGGATACGTTCATTGGCTGGTTGAGTTTGAAGGAACTCCCCTGACAACAACACGAGAGCTAAACAACTGATGGAATCCCCCGGGGGACCCAGTGACCACTTTGTTGGGTTGCAGTTTACCCAAGTCTGAAGTGACGGTTTCCCATGGTTAATTTACTGGTTATACTTGCTGGTTCTTAAGAAATGAGGAAATGATCCCCAAAAACCATTCCTTCTTCCTGAGGAGATTCCCTTCCGGTTTCCCAAACTCCGGATTCCCTGGGCACCTGCGATTTGGGGTACACTCTCCCGTGGTTCCCAACTGGAAGGGGCAATTTGTACCAAAGACTACGCCTTACGGCCAGCTTGGTGACTACCATTTCTCTAAAAGTAACTTCCTCTTCCATTCTAAACCCAGGGATCCTTCTTTCTAGAAAACCTCTGGAAACCGAGGGAAAACGGATCCGGTTTCTGGAAAGAACGATGGTTGAAAAGAATGAACAAGGAATCAACCCCTAGAGTTTTTCGGGGTCACTGGATCCACTGGATCCACTTTGCAGTGCAAGCGGCTGTTCATCGCCGCGTGCATGCCGCCCAGGTAAAGCTTCCCAGGCCTCTGCCACTCAAAGGCGCCCTCTCCGGGAAGGATCTCGGAGGGTCGCGGCATGCCTCGGTGGCTCCAAAGGCGGAGCAAAAACCAGGGGCAATGCGAGGGGTGGAATAAGTTCTAGACATTTGTTTTAAAGTTGGCGGCTTAAAATACCCCCGCATTCTAATCGTTCAAGCCCCCTACATCTTGAGATGGAGTGCGGTGCTTGTCGTTAGGACCCTGCGAAAAAGAAAAAACAAAAGAAACAAGAAAAACAACAACAACCAAAAAACGAGTCCATTGCCCAAAGGAGTAAGAAATACAAGGTTAACCTTTCGGGACCTTACCATAAAACACAAAAATGGAAAACCAAAAGGTCGAAAGGTCGGCTTTGGGCAAGTGAAACTTTGTTAAGCTTCTTGTAACCAGGAAAATTCAAGCTCCCCCAAAAGTTTCGACGGCTTTCTCAGGTGCTCACACGTTGAGCTCCTTGTACTGACCTCTAAACACCCCACCTGAGCTCTCTCACTTCCTGAGCGGACAACCCCCAAAAACTCAAAAGTCCAGGAACTCAGGGAGTGAGGCTACCGGCCCTCCTTTTTGCAACAGAGATGCCCTTGGCCGAGACCTCCAGCGCCCGGAAGATTTGGTCCTCCGTGACGGTCTCGGGCCTGTGCTTCTCGACCAGCTTCATGCAGTTCACCTCCGAACTGTGTCGTGCCCATGGGTCCCCCAAAACGGTGGTGTTCCTTTTTCCCATTTTTCCCAACCCCAAAGCGGGTACCCACAAGGAAAGACAGACCCATATATCCCTACTGATTTTGGGGCAGGGCTTTGGATCATTCTAGGGGTTGATTCCTTTTCCATTATTTTCAGCCATCGTTCTTTTCAAAAACCGGATCCATTTCATCAGGGTGTTTGGTGGTTTTCTAGAAAGAAGGATCCCTGGAAAGAATGGAAATGGAAGTTACCCCTAGAAACATGGGAAAGGAATCATGCATGCGTGTCTTTTTAAAGGTTGGAACCCCAAAAATGGTTGATTTCCTTTAGTGTGCCTTTGAAAGTACCAAAAAGGGGTACTTTGAAAACAAGACACCCCCCACATAAAAGCTCAGGAAAAATTACTTCCCTCCACACATTTCATGCTTAAGGGGGTGGAATAGGGAGGGGATCTTTGGCCGTATGAATGCTTCAACGAATAGCAAGCTGGATCAAATCATGCAATCATTGCTGATCCAGGATTTTGCTGCAGCCCTGCTTATCTAATAGGAACCTTGTCTTGGCCCAAATCTGGGATACCGATGGAGGCCCACGTGTTGTAAACGTAACAAAACCAGCCCCGTTTCGCGTGAGACATGCCGCACCCCCTGCGGCCAAGCTGCGCAAAGGTTGGGCTTCAGGCGGTGGGCCGCAAAAGCGTCGCACTCGCTGGAGCCCTGAGGCGCGGTGTTTTCGGAACGTGGCGACCGTTGTGTAAAGCGGTGGCTGCAACGGTGGCTGCGAAAGAGGGCATGGAAGTCAAAACAAGAACTCCCAAAAGGCAAAAGCCAGGAACTCGAGTGCTCTTGAACTGAGCTGTTTCTAACGTGTTTCTCCAGGACGTGGCTTTTGGACTGAGCTGTGCTTTTGGGACCTAAGAACCAACGCCAGCGTTTGGAACCCAAATTGGATCCCGGGGGGACAAAAAAACAAAAACGCGCGGTCGGCTTCAGGCAAGGAAAGATCTGATTGATTGATTGCATCAAGTTGGGATTCCATAGAAGAGAAACCATCAATTCACAAGGCCCCTTCAACAAAACTCCATGGGTCCGAAAACCAAACACTACACGTTGGTATTGGGCGAAACAAGTTTCGGGTGCATGGAGGATCAAATGGATCAGGCACGGAAAACTGCGACGCCCGGTTGAAATACCCAAAAGTTGTGTTGTTCATGGGGGCAGGACCCGGCCCCTGTCCCCTAAACCCCTCTGGTTTGCAGGAGCTGTTTGGAGGGGTTGCATTGATTCAAAAAACAAATTGAGATGAACTGTGAACATGCATGCCATCTACCCAGATGTTCATTGAGAACTTCCTACTGGATTCCATTGTTCCAATCGAAAGGCCCAAATAATTGCCTAGTGACCTGGAAGAAGGCCCTTATCGGGTTCACCTTTTGCAGTGCAAACCCAGCCTGGCGCGTTCACCCTGAGACTCAGGATGAAAATCCACATCGTTCCAGGGGTTGATTCCTTGTCCATTCTTTTCAGCCATTGTTCTTTCCAAAACCCGGCCGTTTCCCTCGGTTTTCCGGAGGTTTTCTAGCAAGAAGGATCCCTGGAAAGAATGGGGAAGGTCCCCCCAGAATCGTGCCAGTTGGGGTGACTAAACCCATGAATACTGGGATGAATATGGATAAACAAGTCAACCGGGGCCTGGCGCAGATTTATTTTTCCTGCCCGCAGTGGAGTCAATCTCCAAAGGAAGAGGTCGCTACGTCTTCGTTGGCATTACCCCATGAAACACGCTTTTCTGGGGCAGCCAGGGTGGTCAAGCCGGACAGAGATGACCACACACCCTGTCCCTGGAACACTTTGTAGCTGCAGAACCAAAAGCTCGCTCACAAATGAGGATGTAATTTCAGCTCTCAGTACTCCAACGCTTCAAGGGCTAATTCCCGATTCTTTTCACCAATCCTTCTTTTCAACAACAGCAATCGTCCTTGAAAGCAACGACGAGGCAGCCTAAATATGCCCCACACGCTCGCAGTTGCCACAGGCCTCCCTTGACTGTTTGTGGACCAAACTCGGAAACCAAAAGGTTACAAGGTAGAATCGCTTTGGACAAGCGGGCAGCCCCAGTGCCTGTCAATTTTGCCAGGGCCATCTGTGAAGTTGGGGACTGCCTATGCACATGTGCACTGACCACTGAGTCCAAACATTGTATAAGCTTCGATTGAAATGCCGCGCCGTGGTCCTAGCTTGCGGTACGGCCCAAAGTTGCAGCACCAAAGGCAACTGACACCCTGCCAACGAGTGAGCCCTCCGAGCGAGCCCAAAGTGACAGGAGTTCTCACACTCCTGTCAGATCATTCTGGGAAAACCCGTTCAAAAACTCATGGCAAACGACTACAGTGTCTGAACCTTCTGAAAGCTGGGTCGTTCAACCCTAATCCTAAGCTGTAGTGGGGACACCACTAAAACGAGGGGAACAACCACATCTGACATAGGTTTTAGCTTGCTGATGCCAAGTAATTAGGGAATGACCCACGGTGTGGGAAGGAAACCACAGGAAATTGTTTGTAGGGGGCATGCCCTCATTCCCACTCCCTGCCTATCGAACCAACAAGTCAAGCACCGATTAAAGCGAAAAAGAGCCAGCGGAACGTACATGTCGGAGCCTTGCCTCAAAGTGCATCTGAGCATGGAGCGGCACTTTCTCTGTCCCATCGCTCATCACCAATCCGCGATCCGCGCGAGGCAACGAGTGCAAGTCTTGTGTTTTATCCCGGCAGCCCTCGAACCCCGGATTCCCTGGTGTTTTTGGACCCGTGCATACCTTTTTTTCCACGTGGCCTTGTGGTGCTTGTGTGTGTGTGTGTGTGGTGTGTGTGTGTTACAATGCTTATCTCTTAAGCCGGGCACAGGAGGCAATCCAACATCCTCCCCTGTCACGAGAGGGGTCAAAAGGGGTGGACTTGGCCAGCCGTTTGGTTCTCCAGTTCTCCAGGCGGCCACCCCCAACTGTAGCCAGCGCTTTAGGGCAACAAACAGCAACCCACACAGAAAGTGTTCTAACATCTCTCTTAACACAGGGGCTGGGTTAAAACTTAGACTTGTTTCACATACGCCTTGCCAAAGTGATGATTGCTTGGACCCTTGCCGAGGACAAGCCGGCGCCATGCCTATCCTTAGCACAATGCTCAGCTAAGAACCCGCAGGGAGCGAGCGAAACCCCAGAAAAGGAAAGCCAAAGGAAAGGCTCGGCTCTTGGGTATTCCATGCTTCTTGAAAGCTTTCATGTCCTTACTTGGCTCAGGCCGCTTGCACCACCTCGTCTGAAAGCGAAACCATGTGCATCTGAAGAGTTTCCACACCTCGGTACCTTGGGATACTAACATTCCCCCAGGGTCATGGGAGAATCATGTAAGTGTTTATCCTGTGTATCCTGCGTGGGCATCACCCAACGAGGAAACTCATCCCCGAAGTCAACCCCAACAAAAAAATACTTCCAGGGGGGCCATCCGCTTTTCTAACAAAAGGCACATCCTCCAACATTCCTGTCTTTGGTTGTGAAACTAGGCAACAGCTGTGTCTCTCGGGTTTTGCAGCACGCCGTCTTTGCCATGGAAGGGGCGCAACAAACCTCAGCTGAAACTCCCCTCCCGCCCTGGGACCGAGCCCAGCCTCTTGCATCCGCCCCCCAAAAAAAAACGCGCAGCCTGGGTGCCTCCTGCCGTCTCCTGCCCCCTGCGCAAAACGTTTTCACTCTCTGTGGGCAGCAGGAAAACAAAGTTTAAGGTCAAAGATCCAACTGAGGAGCATGGGGTCTGAGAATACGGCGGTTTCTTTCCAAAAATCGGGGACCTTCAACCAGCCACGAGGGCCCCCGGCCTCTGCGCACTGCAGGATCACGGGGCGCTCCCGCTGCACCTCCAGCAGCGGTTTGCTCGCTTGGGAACCCGAAACCGGTTGGGGTGGGACCCCATACTTTAAGACGTGTGGACACTTCTTTGGGTAGGGTGGTCAAGAGATTTGATGTATATGTGTATGTGTGTGTGTATATGTGTGAGTGTATGCGTATGTATGTGTGTGCATGCTGAACGCGTCGTTCAAAAGCGAAAGTACGGAGGGACAACGAGGAATCTCAAGGCGGGGTCTCCATCCCATCGGAAAGACTGTTTTTGGTGGAAGTCTTGAAGCTCTCTTGGCAGGCTGTGACCAGGAAGGAGCACGTGGGCATTTGGGTGTTTATTTTTATTGACCTCCACCTGCAAAAGAAGAACTCGCCTTGCTGCATGAGGTAGTCTTCCCGAGGAAAACGGTTGCAAAGGTTGGATTTGGAGGACTATTGGTTGTCTTCATGCTGCGGGGGACCCAGCAACTTTCCCCATGCCTGACTGGACCGTGCAGTCTTGGATGCCGATGCGATCCACATGCTCGTCAAAAAACAGGGCGCCTTTCAAGGGTACAAGCGCGCCACTACTTTGTCAGTCCAAATCAGTGGCGGTCTTCAGGATTGAAGGACTCTCCTGCTGGCCTGTGCCAGCGAGTGGGATGACATAAGCAAAGCTAGTAGAATTGCCAGTGTTACAAGGAGTTTTGAGGGCAACCTTGAAAATGGACGGGTGTGTGAGGGTACCCTTAGTTGGATTGTTTTAAAGGAAGCCCAAATGGAAGCCAGCCGTGTTCCAATGCCAACCCGTAAGCTTTCCACAGGGGAACGGGCGGCCAGTTGGCCTTGTGCATCTTTCTTTTTGGTTCAGGGTGTCTCACTAGGTTCATTTCACAGCAATAAAACAGATGGTCCTACACTAGTTTCAACTATATGAGGGGAGTGACACTCTCCAAGACCACTATAAGATTACCTCACACAATTTCCAAAGACAGGAAATGCAGAACCCCTTCTTCGCCATGAGTCATAAGGCAATACCCACTTTTGGAGTCAGAAGGTAATGCCTACATAGTATGCTAAGCACTAAACTAGGCTGCCATGGCTGCCCTCAGATCCCCTGCTAAAAGTTTAACTTTTAATGGGTTACATGGAAATCCCCACAAAACCCAACCCTAAAAATCTAAAAGGCTAAGGAACCGGATGGCTGGGAGCCACCAAGTGAAAACCTGGCTGACTGGAACCCCCCCCCCCCCGTTTTGCCTTTTCCTCGTCTCACACGTCCATGGGAGACCACCCCACAAGGTTTCGGAACAAGAAAGCAGCAGCACTCAAAGACAACCAAGGTCCAATCAGGTCGCTCCCCACCCAGGTATAAAATGTACATTTTACGGTTTGCTTCACTTTCAGTCACTGGTAAAATGTAAAAGATGTATCCTAAGTCTACTCCACTTGAAATTAGATCTCATGAAGCAAACACGCGTCCATCAAACTCATGTCGCCCCAACCAATCTCTGGGGTAAGAAATATGCATCCTAAGTCTACCCCAGTCTCCGGGCCTTGCCCGCGCCCAGTGCCCGCGCGCCCGCGCCTCATCCGCCAAGAGCTCCTCCAGCGCCTCGTCGGCGCCCAGGAAGCCCAGCGCGTCGCTGGGCAGAAAGCCCACGCCTGCGGCCGAAGACCCGAAGCCCAGCGACTGGGAGGTGTCCTCCCAACCAAAACGCAAGGGGAGGTTGGAGGGGGGGGGCACCCAAGCCGGGTACATGGGAC